AATAGATTCTCTCTTGCTTGAAGTGAAAAAACTTCTGAAATTGGCGCCTTTGAGTGATTTAAAGACTTGTTCCTAGACCCAATGCTACATTTATCTTGTATTCCGGTCGCGCGTGCTTTTCTAGCAAATAAATTTCGCGTTAGAAACGAGAAAGAGAAACACAGAAATAACTCTCTGCGCTCATTATTTGAGAATGCCAAAGACGCCACAATGGATTCACCGCAGAATATACGCACCGCGACTTGCTAAATATATGCGACATTTTATCATGTTTTTTTTTTATTTCTTTGAAATGGGGATATACATTTCAAAAACGTGTTTTTGTTGCAGGTTCTGGTCGCGGGTTCAAGCTGGCATCCTCTCCAAATAATCCAGCCCCTCCGGTGCTGTGGAGTCTGAGACGAAAGCAAAAAGGTAGGCCCGTCTTTTAACAAGTACTGTGCCAATTTTGAACCTACGTCTGCTGCGCTGGAGAGAAACAAAGGCGCCCCTGCCCGCCGCTGTGTGCAGACAATTTGGGCTGAAAGCTGGGGCTGCTGCCGTGCCATACGCCGCGGTGAATGAGCAAAATTTAGGTCACCTGTGCTGGCTGTTCAAGTGCACTCAAATTTAACCATATATGTACGGCCGTGAGACGGAAAATGAAAAGAGTAATGAGCAAGCCGGCAAATGAGATGGGCGTCTATTGGCAGATGTTGCGGATGCTCTTTGCAAGTGGAGTCATATAGCCTTATGTATCTCACCCTTACTTCGATAGTCAAACTCTGACATATGAGTTTGCACCTGATCATCTATTATTATTATTTTTTTTGTATTACTTTAAATATCAGCTCTTTTGCCTCATCTTAGGATTTTCAATTTTATTTTCTCCAAAATTTAACAGAAACAGATTTAAAGGTGAGTGTTTTCTTATGTCAATGACAATTTGAATGGAAATCATTAAAATAAACCAATATCAAATATTTTTACTCGAATTATTAAACAATATTGAAATTGGAAAGTTGTGCGCAGAAAAAGGGCCACTCTAATGCTGGAATCGCTCCCGGTCGAAATATAATTGCAAACGTTGGTCCCAAAGGCTGATGGCCTGTTCTCGTGCGGCCTAATTGATTAGCCCTTATGAATGACAGGTGCATGTAGGTGCTATAACCAACGAGTCCCAGGGGGCCGGTGCTCCTCTCTCGAACAAGTCACGACACCGTCCACTGATCCACCCACCCATCCACTCCTCTTTTCTTGTTAGCAAAACACCCCAGACACTGCGCCAGATTTGACCCTCTAAAATAATAATGATCCACTAAGACGCGGTTCCGCTTACTGCGACTCAGGCAGAGACTTTGTTGCCTTGACCTTTTTAGGCAGCTACCGACATCAAATTAAATGAGTACAAAGATGTGAGTGGTCATGCATCAATTTCAAATTATCCAGCACAATTCCTTGTAAGGATACAAATTGCATTTCTGTATACAGATCAAATTAAATTTTTACTAAGGTTATGATATATTGGCTTAATAAAATTTCAAGTATTATTTAATAAATATTATTTATTAAATTAGTTTTAAAAGCACGCCGATTATTGCTTTAAATATGCAAAAGCACGAGTATTACAAATTATGAATCAAATTGTTGAAATTGTCGACTCGATTAGATTTTGAGACTGATTAGAAAATGTTGTACATAAAAGCATTTTTGGAAACTTCAGAGTTCAATTTCACGAAAATTGAGAATAACGCTTCAAAGATAAGCTTTGTTGAATCTGTTATTATATTAAAATATATATCCAAATGATCAAACGAACAATTCACAAAATTAACTTTTAAATCAAAGTAATCATGCAATCAAAATGAATTGAGGGAAACCTGAAACTGAGTTTCAAACCGATTTTAATCACCATCATGTATTGAAACCAGCCCAGCCATTGAACTGGCACGCAGTTTTTTACACCTTTTGATGCCAGAGCGACGCAGACTGGAAAACAATTGAAACGGTTACCATGGACTGGAATAAGGCTTTTGTAATTCTCGGATCAAAGTGCTGCGCTCGCATTTCGCATCATTCCCTCGCGGCGAATCCGTTGCCAAAGCGTTGAGATTTTTGCTTTGGCACTCGGCCTGAACCACGATTATTGAATGTTTCTTTGCTGCACACACGCCAGCGTGAATTCGCACAAAGGACCCAGTGAGAATGTCATGCGTGAAAATCTGCCCCGTCGAGTATAAATACATATGCGCGGCGCTCGGGTTGCGTCTAGCGCTGTGAAAGGGGAATAAATAAGAGTCCAATCGCTTTCTTTGAACCCAAAGTATGTGTTTGCCTTGCGGCTAGAGTTTGTTTGAATTCCTCATATATTTGGTTTGTGTTTAAAATAACCACTGTCATTTTATTATTATTATTTTTTACATATCATTTGAAACTTAAAAAAATCATTTTTTAAGTCGTCTAAAATTGAAAAAAAAAAAAAATTTAATTTTCCTGTGAGAATACTAGTACAATAAGTTTTTTGTTTGTGACTTACTAACCAGTGCCGAGCCTGCGGTTGTACCCGCAATTTGTGTCTGCTTATTAATTAACCAGCACACTCACACACCACTTAGCTCAGTTTGACTTCTGTTTGCTACCCGTTTGGCCGCTTGTTTAGATGAGACACTTTGCTGTTCGCTCCAAACGTAAAAGGTCTTGCTGCTGGTAACATAAATTATGAGCACATTCCGAGTAGAAAAACACCTCTAGAAGCGAGAGAAAAGATACTGCAGTTCTTTTTAAATATAATATGGTAAATTGCAGAAGTAGAATTTTTTATTATTAATAAATAAAGATTGTCTTAATTGCATATCATTCATATTGAAACTGCGCGTTTCGTGCTTGTTTTGAAAACGAAAGAGTACAAGGCAAATCACAAATTGGATTTTACTTAGCTGAGGGATTGCGCTACATATAAAGAGCATTGCACATGAAATACTCCTTCAGGCGCCACCAAGGGCTTAGCGATTTTTATGTCTTCCTCTCTGTTACTCACTTGGTGCGGTTGTTATTCCGGGGCGAGTTCAGCCATTCTTGGTCTTGCGAGAAAATTTGATCCGAGGCTCTCTCGCCTGTGTACGCACGCACCATTCAGCGGCTTTTACTAATTGGCTTATCTTGGCGTTTGGTGTAAGCTAATACCGCAACATTGCTCCGGCATAATATAATGGCTGTTGCCGCTGCAGCTCACAGTGAGTTTTTACTTGTCGTTATAAATCAATGTCTGCCGCTGCTCCATCATTGTCGAAAAGTGTGGCTCTAATTTTCAATTATATGCCTCGGTAGTTGAGCATGAGCCTCTACCTATACCACGGGCAGAGAAAATTGGCCGTCGCGATTAGTTGATGTCTGCATTCTACTCACTTGACAAGCTATTGTTCTGATTGATAATACTCGATTAACCAAACTGGTGGACTTAATTTTGCAAAAGAAAAAACTGCTTAAAGGATATCCGCATATTTCTCGTCTTTTCAATAAAAATATTTAATATCCTCCATGAATATGTGGAAATTTTATTTGGAGCGAATTTTAGTCTTAAAAGTAACAGAGCTACAAACAGTTTCTTGCTGTTTTCACAGTGGTTATTTTTTTTATAAATTTTTGGATATGTCGACTGACACCACCTGCTGATACTTTCCTATTCTGCTGGTATAGCTGACTGCCACTTTGGTTACATAAGTGGAAATGCAAATAGTTACTTTTCAGCAAAGCGAACAGACGGCGTGACACCAAAAGTATATTTGGTCACATCTCCAATATCGTTACATTGATATTATCCGTATTTGTTACATACGCTTGGATTTGAAAAATTCGGGAAAAAACTGAATACTCAATACTGAAAATATTGGCATAAATTTTCCCTAAATGGAAATTTTTGCTCGTGGAGACTCATTTTGTACATCCCAGACTGTAGGCTCGTGCATGGAATGTTCAAATTAATTTTAAATTTTGGTCCAAAAAACAGGATAACGCTGCACATATTTCTCACTTCAAAACTAAGCTCTCACTTTCCAGCATGCCACAGAAGAACTCTAATGCAGAAAACGTGCGTCATTTGCTGTGGAAAATGAAATGCGCACTCACTTGCTTTCGTCCGCTGACATCACTGACCGTGCAAAAATGATGATGTCATATTAGCATCGCCGCAGATCAAGGGTGTATTGCTCCACAAGAAACCTGCATTATCTAATTGGAGCTCTTGAACGCGCCGTTATTGATTGTGCCAATATGTTCTAATGGAGATCAAACTTAAATACAAACAGCTTTTTTTAATTAAAAAAAAGTGCTCTGAACTGATTTAAGTGGTTATCTGATGTTTTCCCTTAAGTTGCCCAATAATGTAATTGATTTAGATTAGATTCTTGATAGCAAAAAGGCAAAGTACGCTGGAATAATTTTAAAAAAAAGAAAACCAAAAAATGTTGCAACGTTATTTTATATTGGTCATTATAACCTTCTTTAAACATCTTGCAAATTAATTAAGGAATTTATCGTTAATTGTTCTTAAGAAAAACTGAATTATTCATTATATGTCCATTTATTACAAATTAAATACCTATTTACTTTGACTTATTGAAATTTAGATAGTAATTTAAGGCATAAACTTGAGCAATTTAATTATATAATGTGATTTTGGCTAATGTTGTTCATTTTCTCACTCATTCTGTTAAATAACAAAGAAGCAATTCATGTATATAATTCCAGCAGAAGTTTCCACAAATAAATAAATAAATTTAACTAAATAAAAGCAAAAAATAATTTTAAAATTAATCTTGAATTAAAACTATTGAAATAATATGACATTTTTTATTTTGCTTGAGGTTTGCAAAAGGAAACAAATAACACGCGTGTTTTGGGTTACAAAATTAATTTACAAATGTTTGGTAGAACGAAACTGGAATGAAATATTTGCACAAAGTTTTAATTAGGTAGGCGGTGCGGCGGCGTCAACTGTGGCGCTGGCGCTGCCTAAAGGAGCGCAAAACGCATGGTGCATGTCAAAAGAGTGTGGCCATCAAGGTTGGAGGCGCATGCTCTCGCAGCTGAATGGAGAAACCGCGAGAGCCGCGCCGGACTATCAGCAAGCAGTCTGGTTGACGAGCGGGCGACCCGCGCGCGGTCCCCTCGGCTTATCGGCAACCACGGTGCCATACTGCTGTCTCGGCAACTGCTGCTACCGCGGCTGTGGCAGCAACAATTCTGCGGAAACCGGGGACGGCCTCCTGTCCGCGGTGTCGCCGCCGGCCGTGGCCCTTCAGCAACGGCCGCGAATCGCTGTGGGGACCGGCGGCTCCAAGGTGCGGCCCAAGGGGCCCGCCCGACACCATGCGCGCCTCCATCTCGGACAACGCAAAAGTAGGCCACAACGCCAAGTGTTTTTATCGCCGTTTTATTAATTTATTGTCATTTTTGCACGCGAATTGTGTTTTCGACTCGGGTTCAAAATCGTTATCAAATTAAATTGTTCCAAATGCGTCACGCAACGTTTCGGAATTTCCTCCTGATAATTAATTTCCTTCCTTTCAACTCTCTTGCTTTTTATTTACACTTTTTAGATAAGTTGCTTTTGCACTCGTTAGCTTATATCTTATGATATCCAATTGATGAACAAGCCAAGATCGGAAAGTCAGCATAAGTTTTTTTTTATAAATATGGATCTCCTTAGTCTCCCTCTCTATAAATTTCATTTGAATTTATAATTGTTTTATTTTCATTTATTTTTTTGTTCTCCATTTAAATAATTAAAATTGCATAACATCTTACATCAAATCATAGCCAAAATTAATAAACTATTCGATTGGTTTTCAAGTTGAGCAATATTTTTTAATAATTAAATCTCAATGATTTTGAATCTATATTTTAAACCGCAACTTTAACGCCATTAAGTCCCCACAATTGTGATTCGTTGCAGAGTCGAGTTCTGTCAACAATATTGACAAAGTTCACTGAACTTCAGAATGCATCAGGAATTTATAGCTTAGCAAATAATTTTATTTTTATTTTTAGCTCTTGTTGAGTGTTTGTTGCGAGTATAAATGCGTTTGTTGGGGCTTAGTGCGAAGCGTTAAAATGAAACCTTTCAGCATCCAGAGCTTTTCTGCATCCTACCGTACACACGCATACTACATAATTATAATCCTTTCCCCCTTTATATTATCCAATAACCAATTCCGCATAGCTACCAGAAAACGTGTAAAAAATTAATGTTGTAATTCAATTTCAAATTCAAAAGGAAGTTTTTAATCTCGGTAAAAATGAAATTCAATATAAATTGATTTATCGCTTTGATTTTTTTCCGAGGAAATTAATAATTAAAGGATTTTAAATTATGGCTATGATCTCACACTGTCATTAATATTTTAATATATAAAAATTATTCTCTGGATTTGTGCCAAATTTGAATTACAGAATTAGCAGTCATCATGAAAGACGCAGGGTCGATTTTAAAACAATGGAGGGTAATGCAGCGCATGGCGGATTTGTTTGTAGAGACGAAGAGAGCAGAATGCAGGCACACTTGGTGTGTTTACAGTTACGAGTGTATACTGAGATAAGACACATGCTCGCTGCGCTTGGCATAAACACATATATAATACTATTCTTCTGTAAATTTGAATGCGCGTGTTTGGTTAAAAATCATTTCAAGAAAGTAGATAATAATGTTTCCGTGCCAAATCTATTAACTGCTTTTACTTTTATTGCTTTTCCGAGATATTTATTTTGAAATTTTATCTTTGTCTGCAAAAACAATTAAATACAATTGCATTTCATTATTTTCTTTAACAATGAAATAAAAAAGAAATAAATAAATAAAATTGAATTGAATTCCTCAATTATTTACATGATTCATTTGTTTTTATTATTAAATTCTTTTACAAACGAAATTTCTTGCTCAAAGGAATCATTATTTAAATGATTCAAGCATTAAAAAATCAGAGGTCAGGTATTTTTTTTCAGCGCTTTATGAACTTGTGCTCATTGCAAATTCATAATTATATTTTTGGCAAAGATGGAGAAATAAAAAGCGCTAGCAAATAATAATTCATCTCGTTTCAGCAGACTTAATGAGCTCTGCGGGAGTTATTACAGAATGAGAAAAAATCCGGCAGCCAAAAGCCATAGTGCAGAAATTATATGTGCAAGCACAAAGGGGATTATTAACGCATCGATTTTCTGGTGTCGACCCCAAGGCGAAATCAGTGGGCGTTGAAAAGAAACATTGAATGGCGACGAGGTCCTGTTGCAAACGACTCCATCAATGAAAGTGCAGCGCACCGGTGGAACAAAAAAGCCGTGCAAAATTAACAGTTTGCTCATTCATTGAATTCTGGCGGTGCAAGCAAGGCAGCGACTCATTCACAAGTTGGTTGTTGTGCCGATCTATTTTTGGCACTCATTGTGAGTGAAAATGATTTGAGGCTCACCCAGACGGACGTGAGATAGGCCTTTAAGTAAGCAGCGCAACTTTTTCTTTCAATGAATTGAATAACAACCTTCGCATTACAAAAGCCGTGTGGACAGAGTGCCCATGCAGTCAGCTCCATTTAACCTTATTAGCCGGCCCCGTGACGCTAGCTGTGCTGGCCGCGCTGCATACGCAGGCAGGGGCTACTCAGTCTGTTGCTCTCGCAGGTTGTGGCGACACACGCACGATTGATGTGCATGCGAGATCCAATGTCTGCTGCTCGCCGATCCGCGTGCGTGCTACACACTTGGTGCTTGCTCGCAGTCTGTCGATTCGGTACTAGATTGCAATTCGTTCTTGTGACCGACAATCTAATTCGTCAATCAGATCAATCAAGTTAATCAATCGCCAAGAGATAATTTTTAAGCATTTAATCTCTCTGTCAGTCAGATGAGTCGATTGAGTGTCACAAAAATTAAAATTGATGCATAAAGTACAAATGATTCATAATTACAATTAGTGATTTATAAATATTTAGAGAATAAAGGAAGAGGAGGGAAAAATAGCAATGAAAAATATGGTGTTGAATTTATATTTCCCTTTTCCTTGATGGGATATTTTGAATTGTTAATTGTTTTGTAGAAAAATGTGCATATGAAGCAATAAATGACTCACAAAATCCTAGAGGAAAGGTTAAATACAAATTCAAACACCGCGAATCAAATCACGATCGTGAAATTCTTCTGCAAAATAAATATTGAAATAAAATTTTTTTAAATTGCAATTTATGAATTTGTTAAATACTTTTTTCGTCCTCACAAGTTTATCTACTTTTCTTAACGCTATTTATTTTTACATTTGTGGCGTGGAAAAAATATTTCTGCATAATAATCTGGATTATATTCTCCTTTCTGTTTTTATCAAGGGCATATATTCAAAAATAAAATATACGCAGATAACTTTGAGCGTTCAGGCGTTTTTTTGCGAGTGAGATCCCCACACAAAGGGTTGGAATAAAATTACGAATAAATGAGTGAAAACGCTGTATATGCGCTCCGACCTGCAGAGCTTTTTTACCCCCTTTGCGAGAAGTTGATAGACTAAAAGCAGAGCAGAAAGGCAACTTTGCCGAGGAACAAAAAGAGGAGCTACGCACACATCCGACACGGCGGCAGTATAAGGGCTCAATTTTGCAACAGGCAGGTGGATAATGGCACAGGCTGCGGTCGTACGCACGCACTACCTTTTTTTCCACCGAATACAAATCTCAATGAAAGGCAACCGGTGCGAGAGTTTGTGAAAAGGGCGTTTAGGGCGAAATTGCAGTCGAGGATCCAGTCCAACCTACACTATTACGCGCTTATAAACATCTAATTTGCAATTTAGACTTTTCTCGTTAAACGCCCGACGAGCGGCTGCGCTCAGTTTACGGCCTCAAAGGGATTTAGAGCTGGATAATCATTATAAACTGCGGCTCATAAGCAAACGGCCGGAATTTTTTCAGGAATATTGTTGCACAAGGTATATTGCTGAATGAATCGCACACGACCATGGTGAAAACTTTTATAATGAAACTCAGCTTGACCCGCCATTATTTTTTAATTCCCGCTCTAAAAATTTCCGGTGATGGTTTCCATTTTCATAAAATCAGCGCATCATAATTTTTGTAAAAAAAAATGTAATTTTTTAACTTGTAAGGTCTACAAACTTTTGGCTGGGTTAATATGTGTTAGTGTAGCAAAAATTTCAATTTTCTTTTTATAACAATAATAGTTTAAAATTTTTCTATACAACTTCTTTATAGAACAGAATAGAAACAAAGATCTCGGTTCCAAGCCTATTCCGCATTCTCATCTCACGCTTTTCCAGTTGCCCGGCTCCGGAGCCCAAATTTTAATATTTGCCTCGTAAATTCAAAGTGTCACTCCATTACCCCGCCCGGCGTGAGCCAACCTTGCCCATATTTTGTTGCGAAAACATATAACGCACTGCTCCGTCGGCATAATGTATTCGCAAATGTGAATAAATTGAGAAAGTGCGCAACTCGTATATCTCATGCCAGCTGGCTGCGCTTGGCTGCGAGTGATGAGCCCCGTCTATTCATCTCCTGCAGAGCTTGCCGAATGTATTTGAAAAATTCATGAAACCTGCTTCTGCTTCGTCCGTTTCAGCCCATTTGCTATTCGCAGATGATGCGGAAATTTGAAGCTGCGTCGGCTGGTTGCAGCGCAGCACCCTCGCAAAAGCGATCAGATTTCTGACCTTTGTTTTGAGGGCTGGAAAATGACTCCAAAAATACACGCGTACGCCAAATTGCTTTGCACAGTTGAGTGCTTGCGGCGCACACGTTTCTCCACAGCACTGAACTTTCCGTATTTTTAACATTTAGGCAACCCATGCTCACTACACAAACACAGAAAATTAATTATATCAATATGTAGAGTTCATCGAAATTTGAGAAAGAGAAAAAGCTAGGAAAGTTGTGATTAAATAAAAATATCATGGGGGATATATTTTTATATTTACCATTTTGTAGTTACTCCTTGAAAGGAATTTATTTTTGTGATGACATTTACAGTCGTTGAAAAAAACCCCAAAAAGATATTTATAATTATAACATTCCTCTCCTAAATTATATTGAATACTTACGCTTTTACTATTATTTAATTTAAATTATATCCCTATTTTTTTGTTGCAGGTCCGCACTTACGTGTGGAGGTCGAGGCCGACCGTCCTACAGGGAGGATGACGGCGGAAACGGCCCCCAACGCTGTGGTGGCGGGGGCAGAGGGTGGCGGAGGTGGAGCACACCAACATGCCACCTCCAAGACGCCGCTTCTCTATTACGACCCAGAATGTGCAAGGGTCGAGGCTTGGCTTGATGAGCATCCAGAATTCATGCAGGATTACTTCATTAGGTAAGACAAATTTTTTTAATTTAAAACATAAAAGTCCAAAAATTTTTATTTAAAAAAGAAAATAATGCATTTATTCCTCTTATGTTCTTATATAAATTATACATTAATGCCAATTACAGTTATAGTCATGAGGAAGTTAAAAATTAAAAGCTTATAATCTGGCTAAAACTTTTGAAATGTTGTTGGTGGTTGCTGACTTTAGGTGTATTTAGTGTTCAAAATTAAATTAAAGTTTTCGCACGATAGGGAACTTTTTTTATTTAATAGCAAACATTGGTTTCGGCCAATTTTAGGACATAAATTTGCTGGTCTGACAATGTAAATTTCTAATAAAGGGTTTGAGGTTGAGGGTTTAAGATCTAAAATAAATATTAACTTGTTGTAAATATTATATCTCTCTTTCGCTGAACATAAAACTACTTCATATCTTTTTAAATTTTTCCAACTATTGCACTATAATAACAAGGATTGATTCATGTTTATTTTAAACCTAAATGGGTCTTTTTCTCAATGCTACTGGTTCTAAGTAAAAATAAAGGCCTACAAAACCAATCTATAGGAAAATTGTTAGCAATTTTACTTCCTCCGATTATTAAAATTATGATAAAGAAATAATTTTATTTCTTCTTTGTAGGAAAGCGACGCGACAAGTTGTCGATTCATGGCTTGTGACGCACGCGACATCAACGTCTTCCATGACGCAGGCAAACGCAGCCGACTCGCCAACGCAGCCGACGGGGTCGCGCGGTGGCAGTGGCGCCACCACACCTGTGCGCAAAATCTCAGCGCACGAGTTTGAGCGCGGCGGCCTGCTGAAGCCGATCGTGACCACAATCGACGGCACGCCGACCTTTCTGGTGACGCCGAATGCCGACAGCACGAGCAACTGCTCGTCGACGCACCACATCGCCACCAACAACAACCTGCACAACTCGAACGTCGCACCGGCAGGGCAGCGACGGTCGCGCTTCGAACTACGCCACCTGGACGAGAAGGAAATCATCTTCGAGCTGGTCAAAGACATCTGCAACGAACTGGACGTGCGCAGCCTGTGCCACAAAATCCTGCAGAACGTGAGCATGCTGCTGAGGGCGGACAGGGGTTCCCTGTTCCTGGTGCAGGGCAACGCCAGTTGCGGCACAAGGTGCCTCGTGTCAAAACTGTTTGATGTGTGCTCGCGCTCCACGCTCGAGGAAATGGAAAAGAAGGACGAGATCAAGATTCAGTGGGGTCATGGGATCGTGGGTTTTGTCGCTGAAAGTGGAGAGCCTGTCAACATCCCAGACGCGTACAAGGTAAACTCATAAAACGCTCTTTATAGAGATTTATTGCACACGGGGTGCGTCTTAAGGATATTATTTTTTGGGCCTTGTAATGGTTATGGTTGTTTATATAAATTTTGACAATTTTCCCTGAACCTTTGTGTTGATAGAGGGCTAATTTTCTTTTTATTTCCTTATAAAAAAGCTTTTTTCTTTTCCCGCCCATCCCCAATATTTTAATTTTTGGCTTATAATAAATTAATATTCTTTCATATTGATGGGATTTGCCATGAAAATGCATTATTGTGCCCTGGATAATTATGAGAGATGCATACAATTTTGCTAATTGGATAATGTGGGATAATGATGATTTATAATCCGGGTAACAACAAAACTGTTGCAAAACTACATTCCTTGGTTTTCTAATCTCAATGTGCCTAATGTATTATCAAGTTAAAAATACAAACAAATATTGAATTTTAATATGACACTGACAAAAAATCAGTGGAAAAGTCACTGAAAATAACTATTTAATTTTTACAAGATTTTCATGTTTCTGGAGAGGATAAATGTTATATTTAATTTTAATATCATTAAAATAATTTAATTACTTTTCTTCTTGATTTACAATATTTGACACATAATGATAATTGGAGTTGCTGATGCTGACAGTATAATTATTTATACTTCCATTCCAAGGGTAGCCATAAAATAATATTTAGTAAAAACCCACTTTTACGAGCCGTTTGTACGTTCGTTGAACAACGCGGGGCGCGTTCTCCTTTAAATAAGCAATTTCAGTGGGCGTTGGAGGCAGTATATTAATAATGTCTTGCCATGATTACAATTTTCTGGAATGATTCATTTGGTGGTTTCCAGCAGACGTGACTAAGGAGTGTCTTGAGAGATTATTCGCTTTATTGATTTTTTATGTGTGTATGCTTGCCACATGCCCGCTAAAATATATAGCTCTGCACTCCAAGGGACTATTACCCTGTCTTCCGCTGGTGAGGCACTGCTTGGTCCTCTTTGCGCCAAGAACATCATTAATTATTCCGCCTACCTAATGACCAGAGAATCCACAATTTTTTGCACGGTTCGTCCTTGTGATTTTTTTTTTTAATCAGCAGGAGGCAAAACAGGAAATTTATAGCCCGTAAATTCTTCAACAGATATATATTTTACGGAGTACCGCTCATTGTCAAATGAAAGTGGTTAACCCTTTTTCAAGTATTCGAAGGCGCTGGGATAACAAATTCTAGGCACGGCCGTTGGTTTTCCTTGATGGCCAGTGTGTGCTATGCTATTTTTATCTGCCTCAGTCGACCCTGACCCAGGACGCTATGTAAATGTGTGAGGATCGTTTCGTGTGCAAACTTGTCAGCTCACTGCAATCCCATTGACTTGTGCCAATATCGCGGATAAATTGAGAGGCACATTTATTCCATGTTAACTATTTTCAGCTATACACTTTCGTCATTCTATTTTATTGCCAGATGCAATAATTTTATACAATCAAAAGTACCAAAATATTTTCATGGCATTTTCTATGATATTGTTATTAAGATTTTTGGGGGAAATTTTTCAATTGGCCCTGTTCCTTTATCGTTACATATTGCGTCACACTTTGAAAGTGCTCTTCTGGCGCCTGTTCAACAAACCCATTTCCGAAACGCGGATTATTTAGCACTATACCAAAAAAGATCGATCGTCGATGTCATTTTCCTCTCCATTAACATGAATCTGTACCAAACAATAGTCTCTCTGGCGTCAAGCCTTTGTAGATTGCTTTTTTCTCAACTTTACTCCGTCACTTCTGCGATCAAGTGAGAAAAATGGTTTCCTCCTCCTCCCCATTGAGCCGTTTTTGCTGACGCTGCGCGTTCTGAAAAGCTTTTTTCGCTCTCAAAAAGATAAATAATATGGTGAAGGACGCAGACAAATTCCTCTATTTCAATCAGACTCCGATGCTTGCCTCTGAAAATATCAACTGATTTTTTTTACTCTTTTTTCGTCTCAGGATAACAGATTCAACCATGACATAGACCTAATGACTGGCTACAGAACACGAACCCTTCTGTGTATGCCGATAAAAGACTGTAACGGCGAGGTTATTGGAGTTGCGCAGGTGAGGAAAAAATAATATACGTAAATTTGTATTTTTAACTAACTTTAATATTGATTTTGAAGATTAAAAATATTAAAATAATTAAAAAGTTAATAATTTAAAATTTAGTTCTGCTGTTTTTATCTTCGATTTGAAAAATATATTTTAATTTCTATAATCTCTGCTAATTATCTGCAGCAATTATTATTTATTTAATGTAATTGTTCCTTTGTATATTTGATGCTTATACATTACAGAACAAATCTGGAACAAATCCTAATAGTAAAGCACAGTTTATTTTTATTTCCCGTCTCGCTTATTTTACGAGACACACGTTGGCACACTCTATATATTCTCTGCTCAGTTCTTTCTCCCTGTCGTCAAAGTGTCAGGCCCGAAATAAGTGAAACTCAACGCCCAACAAAGTCCATTTCTCTTGTCCCGCACTCGTTGACACACACATGGCAAATAAAAAATGTGATTTTCCCGCCGGCAGGTCATAAACAAGCAAACCGACTCCTGTTTCACTGCCAACGACGAGAAAATTTTCGCCAGCTACCTCCAGTTCTGCGGCATCGGGCTCAGGAACGCTCAGCTGTATGAAACGAGTCAACTGGAAGTCAAGCGCAATCAGGCAAGTACATAATATACACCCTGTTATGCGTTTTGCGGTCCTATTTGTTCTGCCTGGGCGTACCGATGCCAATTCGCAACCGGTCGTCTTATTTGTGCAGAAATGTTTACCCGTCTACACACGCCTGTGCTAAGTGGCATTATTAGGCAACTTTTTTTTATTATTTGCAATTCATGAAATTTGCGATAAAATGTGAAAATAGGACTGTTTGCCAACGATCAACGTTTAAATTTTGTTTTTGCCCTTTTATTGAGAAATCGCCTCGTTAAATTATGCAACCCGCGTAACACAAAATTGAAATTTCTCAAAAATATTTGATTTATAATGGGATTTTGGAACTTTTATATTATTGAAATAAAACGTTCTGATTGGCATGATGAACGTATTACGTGTATTATAAGATAAAGCTTTACTGATTTTGCTCAAGTTGATAATATTCTATTCAGGGCTGTAATCAAAAATCACGTACGCTTCACGTTTAACCACTCAGCCTCTGTCACTTTTCAATACTATATATGCACAGGCCTTTTGTTGCGGCTCGCTCAGGCGCACATGGGATAAGGGTGATAGAGGTTGACAGGCGTTTGCTCAACTTTTATTAGCTGTCTATTACACACGCACACTGTGCTAAACCATATTTTATCTCTCCAAACTCAGAAGATGATGACAGGTACCATAGGCTGCTCAAGTCGCAATTTGAGCTCAGAACTTTCATCTCCATGCTTAAAAGTTTCAGAGATCAGTGAGAAGATAAATATTGGTTTCAAATAAATTAAGATAAAAAATTTAATTAACCATTTCATAAAACTTTCATCTATTCAACTTTGAGTACTTCACCAAAAATTTGAAAGCAAGAATGATATTATTTCATGTTTAATAAAATATTTTTCTTTGTTTAGCAAACACAAACATTTTAACATTTTTCCCAATAAAAATTTTATAAAATGTTGAATTTTTATTTTGTAGCCTTTTCTCTAAATTTACTTTGACCCTCATTTACTTTTTATTTATTCCAGGTTTTGCTAGACTTGGCTCGCATGATCTTCGAGGAGCAGAGTACAATTGAGCACATGGTCTATCGCATCCTCACCCACACACAGTCTCTAATCCAGTGCCAGCGAGTTCAGGTACAAAAAATGCGCTCACCTTTATTGCTAACTAAACAAATTGTTTTATTTATGGCACTCGCAGGTACTGTTACTCCACCAAGCCTCTAAAGGCAGCAGTTTTTCCCGCGTGTTTGATCTCGAAGCTGGTGATATGGAGTGCGAGGACGTCGACTCAAGGACGAGGTTGGAACTTTCTTTAACAAAGAGAGACAATTGCGATTTTTGTTTGCATTGCAGTCCATTTGAAAGCAGATTTCCAATAAATATTGGTGTGACTGGATTTGTAGCAACAACTGGAGAGGTGGAAATTTCAAGGCATCATTTTAATCAATATAACTAATGCGAATTTTCTAGATTTTAAATATAGCAGATGTCTACAATAACGAGCGCTTCGACAGATCTGTTGATGAAGGGACCAATTTCAAGCACAAAAGCATTCTCTGCATGCCTATAAAAAATTCATCAGGACAAATAATAGGAGTCATACAGGTAGTCTACTGTCTTTTAAATAATGCACATTTACTTTTAATTTAAATAAATTTCCAGCTCGTAAATAAGTTTGATGACTTAGCATTTACCAGGAATGATGAAAACTTTGTTGAAGCCTTCTCGATATTTTGTGGAATGGGTATTCACAACACACACATGTAAGTGCAATCAAACAGAAACGCGATTTAAATGGAAATTTTTTGCCATAGGTATGAAAAGGCTGTGGTTGCTATGGCCAAGCAGAGCGTTACCCTAGAAGTCCTAAGTTATCACGCATCAGCATCTCTTGAAGAGGCAATCAGACTTAAAGTAAAGAATATGGTTTACCATGACTCCAAATATTGAATTTCTGTTGGTTTCTTTGCAGAGCTACGTTGTACCTTCCAGTAAAAAATTACACCTGCTCGATTTTACATTCGACGACATTGATATGTCGGACGATGATACTCTTAAGGTGATTTCATAATTTCAAGTGTTTAATTCATGAAGCTGTTTTATTAAATTTTATTTTTCAACATTTCAATCTTGTTTTGCAGGCGTGTTTGCGCATGTTCATGGATCTCGACCTTATCGAAAGGTTTCACATTGATTATGAGGTACTGTGCAGGTGGCTTTCCTCTGTAAAGAAGAACTACAGAAATGTCACGTACCACAACTGGAGGCACGCATTCAATGTTGCTCAAATGATGTTTTCCATAATCTCTGTGAGTGACAAAATCACCTCTTTTAAGAGTATGCAATTAAATTATTTTTACAGACTACTCAATGGTGGAAAATATTTGGCGAAATTGAATGTCTGGCTCTCGTCATTGCCTGCCTTTGTCATGACCTAGACCACAGAGGGACCAATAATTCCTTTCAAATTAAGTATGTTCATTTAGTAAAATTTTTGTCAATTTTGATGGAATAAATTTTATTAGAGCCTCATCGCCTTTGGCGCAACTTTACTCTACCTCTACCATGGAGCACCACCACTTTGACCAGTGCATAATGATTTTAAATAGTCCAGTATGTTTTCACTCAATAGAATTAAAGTTTAATCTTTGATGAGAAAATTTCAGGGCAATCAAATTTTGTCAAATCTTTCGTCAGAAGAATACTCAAGGGTCGTTAAGGTATTAGAAGATGCCATTCTTTCCACAGATCTAGCCGTATACTTTAGGTAAGTGCTGTGGCAAACAAAATTATATTATTATTTAATTAAATTATTATTTAATCAACTTTAAATTTTAGAAAACGAGGCCTATTTTTCAACGTTGTTCGAGGACGAGACAAGAACTGGGTGCACGAAGATCAACGAGAGCTGTTGCGAGGAATGACCATGACAGTTTGTGATTTGGCAGCCATCACCAAGCCGTGGGAAGTTGAAAAAAGGGTGAGTAATAATTGATGAAATTATGCGTGGACGTTTTCAATATGGTTGGTTTAGGTAAAAACATTGGTAATAATATGAATATTTGCTAATTCGAATCAATCTAATTTTTAGGTCGCAGACTTAGTATCCAGTGAGTTCTTTGAGCAAGGCGACATTGAAAGGCAGGAACTGAATATTACACCAATAGTGAGTGATTATCATTTTTTCAATGTGAACAGTTTATACATCCAAACAAAAATTTCATTGCTGCAGGATATGATGAATAGAGAGAAAGAAGACCAACTTCCACTCATGCAGGTTGCTTTCATTGATTCCATTTGTATGCCAATTTACGAGGTAAATATTTTATTTTAATTTTTAAATGATAAAAAAAATCTACTTTTTTACATCATTCAAATATGAACACAATTTTTGAAACAGGCGTTTGCTGACCTTTCCCCAGAGCTACGGCCTCTTGTAGAGAGAGTCAGAGAAAACAAGATGCATTGGTTAGAAATGTCAGAGTTAAATATGACTCAAAAACGTAAAGTGATAGATGGTGAAGACAGCCGCCAGTGACACTACAGTGCTTATATTTATTTAAAAAAATTTACTACAACTGTTGGCGACATGTTAAAGAAAACTCTCACCTAAAAGGAGAAAGAGTGCAATGATTTTGTGTAAGAGACAAAACCCCATTGTGTACTTTTATCTGCAGTGTTAGTGAGCAGATTTGTGAAATTATTTGATGTGTACCATTCAATCTCCAATTCTCTTTGTTTCATATAGAGAAGTTCTGTGGATACATTTTAAATGTATTTTTGTGCTTTAAAATATGATAATACTTGAAGAAAATCTCTTGTTGATTCATTTAAGGCCCCTTGTGTGTTAAAATAGTTCATCTCTTTAATTATAAGTTTTATTTTATAATTTTTTAAAAATATACCATTATGATTAATTTTTCTATGCATTAAGACTGTTTTGTACAAAGCAAAAACATTTTTTGTTTCTTTTATTTTATTAGATAACGTTTACCAGCTTAAATTGAAATTAAATGCAAATAACTGGATGCCACTGTAAATTCATTTATATATTTTAACTTCAAAAATAGTTTGTGCAAAATTAAATATTATTTTGAATGAAATTAGTGCATAATAAAATGCATTCATTTGATCTCAGCCAAAAAATCTCATAAGTTATGACTGCAAGCCGAAGTCAATAAATGTAGAGCAGAACATTTTTTCCTAAACAATAAGCAACTTGAATTCCATCAAGTAAAGCTGATTTTAAATTGAAGCATCATTTTTACTCACAATAAAAATAAAATCAATCTGAAATAAATTGAATGCTAACACTCGAGGCTCGTGGTGGTTTCATGAAAAATTGTAACCAGGCGAACCTCGTTGCGAAGAAAGAATAAAAAAAGGACAACACTGACCTCAAGGGCTACTGGTCTGCTGGTACTTTAAAAACATAGGGCCTTGTCGTGGGAGGAATTCCCCCTTATTAGTTTTAGCTTGGACAAGACAAACCCTAGGTTTTTAAAGTACTAGCAGACTGCAGGTAGCCTTTTGTTGCCCTTTATTGTCCTTTATTTTTATTTTTCGTTGCAAAAAGGGGTTTTCACCGTTTCAATATTTCACAATTTTAAATTGAATTAAAATTTTGAAATAAAATTTATTCTTCAAAAATAGTCTCCAGCCTGAAGACCAACGCTTATTCATTTATGTATAAAAATTTTTATAAATTTAGAAGAATTTTGTTAATAATTTTACACAAATAATTATTTTTGTGTAAAAAATCTTTTATCTTCCATTAAAGAAATGTAAATTCTGTGAAAATGAATGTAAACCGAGAACTATCGGTTAGAATATTAATAAAAAGTTTTCAAACACTCGATTTAATGGTGGCGGCTATATTTTCCAGGACAAATTATTTTAGCAACAGACGTGAATCCCGCAGAAATAAATTTTAACCAAGGAATATGGGTTAACAATTTAATAAAAAGCTGGCGAAAACTAATTTTAATAGTGGTGGCTATATTTTCCAGGTCAATAGAGACTAATTAAGAAAATTTAGATATGCTTATACAGAAAATTCTCTTTTACTGCTCACAGAACTGCTCCAATATCAAGTTCAAGAATTCACAATAACATAATATTGTTGGAAGCTCATTAAAAAACAATTCCCTACAGACGTTCCAAAATTGCAGGAAGCAGGCAGGAAGTACAGTTCACGCCTCTTCCCAATGTCAAACATCAAACAGGTATTAACGCATGGGTCTACTTGATAATAATAAGATAATAATGTCTTCAGCATGCGGCAAATAAATGCCTGTCGTTTCAATCAAACGTCTCCTAACTATGAGGCAAGCATTTATCATTGTCAAAGTTTTTGTCAGGAGATTGAAAAGAAATGCAAATTTCCGCGAATTTTCTCTATAATGTCAACCTTATTTCATTCCATCAAATTGTTATCTGGGTTTGTACCATATTTTGCTTACAATTTTTAACAGGTAGATTTAGTCTGAAGCCGATAAAGCGCACCTCTTCTCCACACCGACAAAAAGAAGTTAATGGTGGCAGCCCAAGCTGAGGGACATCTATATATTGTCAGGCGCACGCCACTTGCTCCTCAATCTGCCACCAGTCGCGGTTGCGTCTACTTTTCATAAAGAGCTCCCGTCGCAAGCTTCTTTGAGAGATTAAGAATTTCAGCTTTTTAACGCGATTTTACTTATTTAAACGTAGGTTTTTTTCTGTTTAAAATGAGAGTTGCGTTGGCAATTTTGGTGCTCATAGGGGCGATATCTGTATCTAAAGCGCAGATATCTTTGTCCCTTCTGCACTTCAACGATTTTCACGGAAGATTTGAGCCAGTAAGTATCCAAACAGGAGTGTGCCAACCAGGAGAAAATGAGCAAGGTACGAAATTAAATTATTTAATTTGTAAAAAGAAAAAAAATGACTGCACTCAGAAAAAAATATCTTGAAGTATGCTTACAGTTGCAAGAGAGAAATGTGCAAAAGTAACAACTTATAACATGTAAATTATAATTTTTTTTGCAAAGGCTCATTACCTTTGAATTAAATTCATAATAGTTATGTCATTATTTGCTACTAATGCACTTATGTTTTTTTTTCTTTTACTAATTTTAGGTAAAAAAAAAAAAAAAAAACACGAGATAGTGAATTAAAAAATGAAGTATATTTATTGAGAAAGATTTGAATATTAAAAATGAAAATTTAGTTATTAGAACTGATAAATTACAATTTTTATCCAAAGGAATTTGTTACGGAGGAATCGCCAGATTGTACACAGCCATTCAGGAAAGGCGAAATACACTGCCTAATCCTATTGTCCTCAACGCTGGCGATAACTATCAAGGCTCGCTAATGTATTCACTGTTCAGATGGAATATTACTTTACAGTTCATGAAGCAATTCAATTTTGACGCTTCGGTAAAATTTTTCAATTTAAATATGGTTCACTATATAACTAGATATTTCCAAAAAAAATAAGGCTTTCGGGAATCACGAGTTTGACGATAGAATAGCTGGCCTCGTTCCTTACGTTGAGGGCCTTGGAAGCCCACATGTGGCAGCTAACATGGATGCTTCACAGGAGCCAACTCTGGACGGAAAATTTACCGCATCAATTACAATCACAAGACAGGGGACACCGATAGGCATTGTGGGATGCATCACAAAGTTCACTCCCGTATTAAAATTGGCTCTGAAATAATTTTGTACTAAATAGGAATCGTTTTATAGTCACAGTCTAGCCCTGAGAATGTCCAATTCTTGGATGAGATTCCCGCAGTTACAGCAGAGGTCGAACGTCTTAAAGCCCAAGGAGTTAAAATCATCATTTTGCTCAGTCACAGCGGATATACTTATGACCTAGAAATGGCGCGACAGATTCCAGATTTGGATATTATTGTTGGGTCTCATTCCCACACTTTCCTTTATACTGGTACTAATTTATATTTCTATTGGACCTCAGTTTCTTAAGCATTTAATGATTTAATTTCAAAAAGGTACTCCACCTTCAAATGACTTGCCGGTCGCCGATTATCCCACAGTGATAAGTCAAACTAATGGTCACAATTGCTTGATCGTCCAAGCCTATGCGTTCAGCAAGTACTTAGGAGTTTTGGAGGTAAATTTTGACGCTAACGGAGAGGTGACTACCTGGACAGGAAACCCTGTTCTTCTGGATAATACGGTTATCGAAGGTAATTTTCCAAATTAATTAAGGTCACACAGATTACCGAATACGGATTTCATTTTTTTAATGACGTAGATCCTGGAATAGTCAGTATGTTGGCTCCCTGGAAAGAGGAGGCTGATAAAACTGGTTTGCAAACGATCGGTACATCGGCGGTGTACTTGGACAAGGCCAATTGTTATAATGGCGAGTGCAATCTTGGCAGTTTTCTTGCCGACGGAATGGTCCATGAGGTTATTATTTGTAGTTTTGTTTTAAATTGTATAAATATAAATTTTTGTGAAGTACACTGAGCTGAACGACGATGATGGCTGGACCTTTGCTGCGATTGCAATCATGAATCCTGGAGGTCTTCGAGCTCCCATGGGAGAGTCACCAAGTATGATAAAAAAAATAATATTTTCTGGTTAATTTTGTTAAATTAATTGCTTTTCTCGAATCAAGACATCACTGTTAATGATTTGTATACTTGTCAACCATTCCAAAATACAATTGATACAATTGAGCTGCAAGGAAAAGATATTGTTGAACTTATGGAATTGGCAGCCAGTCCACCTGCATATTATAGAAGACATGTACCCCGTTTTGCAGAAGGCCGTGGTTGCTTCCAAGTTTCTGGTAATTTTAAATTCTTATATTTTTATTTTTTAATTATAAATTAATATTTAGGGATGCATGCTGTTTACGATTTAAATCAACCTGCTGGCTCTCGCCTTAAAAGTCTTTCACTGCGATGCGCGCGTTGCAAGATTCCCGAATATTTTCCAGTCAACTCGGAGGAATGGTACACCGTTGCAATGCCTTCCTTCCTATCGGGTGGCAGTAGTTTTCCTTTGATTTCGGAGAGAGGCAGGAATAAAACAGTTGGTAAATGTTTTATGAGAAAAAAAACTATTAGTTTTGTCTCATATATCTGTTTTAACAGGACGAGTCGATTTGGACGTCTTTGCCAATTTCATTGCAAAATCAAGCCCAATTGTGACTGCAGTTGAAGGACGAGTTACTGTAGTTTAATTGATTTATGGTCTTAAAGATCAAGATTAGTCTAAAATAAAATTCAAGGTGAAAGAAAATTTTAATTGTGTTTTGATTTTAATAACGTACCCCTTGACCTTTTCACTAGAAAACCATTGTTTTTGGTTCTCATGTCCATAAACTTTAAGCTCGGTTAAACTGTGAAATGATTAGATATGAATTTGTATCCAAACGCAACAACAGAAGCGATTTTTGTGGCAAAATAGCGCGTAACTTATCAACGTGCTTAAGATTAAACACTAATTATCTCAAGGTAAGGTTCTTCACGTGTTTCGCATCCACTTTTTCGGCAATAGCTTTTCAGCCTTGTTTTTTATTGCTTTATCGCTGATCACGAAAATGATGAGTGTAAATAATCAATCTAATAAAAATGCGTCTGAAGGCAAAAAGTAGGATTGATTCGTCATTGTGAAGATCTGAACGCGGTGCTTCGGAAGCAACAATTGCAACAATGAAGGTTTTCGCGATCGCGGGTATCGCGACAGCAGTCATTGTCGCCATTGGATTGACAGTAGCGATTGTTCTGCTAGGGCCAGTAGAGCAAGAGTCATTGGAAAAAGAAATTAGTTTCACTATTTTGCATATCAACGATTTCCACGCGCGTTTTGAGCCGATCAGTGCGAGTGGAAGTACTTGCCAAGCAGGCAACAATGAACAGGGTAAGCTCTGGAACTTAAATTAGGAAGTTTTATTATTATTTTTTATTATCATTGGAAAATTTTTCCTTGGCAAGTATAAAATTGCACAATATTTTGACTTTTTGTAGGTTTGTGCTTTGGAGGAATCGCTCGAGTATATTCTGCGATCACAGAGCAACGCCAATTGCGAGTAAATCCAGTAGTTTTGAATGCAGGAGACAATTACCAAGGCACTCTCATGTATTCTCTGTTCAAATGGAATATTACCTTGGAATTCATGCAAAGGTTAAATTTTGATGCAACTGTAATAAAAAGCTCTTATTTGTCGATTCTTTCATTTTGTCTTATTTAAAAATTGGAACTAGGCATTTGGAAACCACGAGTTTGACGACAAAGTGGCTGGAATTGTGCCTTTCGTGGACGGCCTTAAAAGTCCAATGGTGGCGGCCAACATGGACGCATCCCTCGAACCGACACTGGATGGAAAATTCGTACCCTCTGTCACAATTTACAGGGACAAAACAAAAATTGGAATAATAGGATGCATTAGTAAGGAAACACCAGTAAGTTTAAATTCTCGATTCAATTTTTTTTAGTGCTTGTTTCTCAATTTAAATTTCTAGGCATTGTCAAGCCCAGAGAACCTGATATTCAATGACGAAATTGAATCTGTGAGTGCCGAGGTTAAAAAGCTTAAGGCTGACGGAGTGAAAATTATTATTTTGCTAAGTCACAGTGGGTACGACGTTGATCTCATTATAGCTGAACAAATTCCAGAATTAGATGTGATTGTCGGTGGCCACTCACATACATTCCTTTACTCTGGTATTTTTTAAATTTTTTAATTTCAACTCAAACTTATAAAAGTGCATAAATAAATAGGGACACCACCTACAACTGATGAACCTGTAGATGAATACCCAAAGGTAGTGACGCACAGAAATGGAGGAAAAACATTGATTGTTCAGGCAATGGCTTTTGGTAAATATTTGGGAATCCTGGAGTTGAAATTTGACAAGGCTGGTGAGGTGGAATCTTGGTCCGGGAACCCAATTTTGCTTGACAGCAGCGTCCCTGAAGGTAATAAATTTTTTAAAGTTATTTTTTTTTATAAAAAAATTACAATTCCCGACAAGCTAAGCAACGATTTTCCTCCTTCAATAGTGGCTACTTCGTAATAATTGTGGTGTAAATTTGACAAAATAATTTGAATGCTTTCATCATTTCTATAAACTAATTTGATTTTTTTTCCTTGATTAAACGCTAGAAAATCTAATCACAGAGATTTTGGGAGATAATTACTGTTAATTTTCTACCAAAAATTTTAGAGACTTTTTTTCTGAAATTTAAATAAAGTAATACAAACTTTTTTATTGCTTCATTAGCTTAATTCTTATCTTATCATTTAATTTACTTTTATGACAAAGAAATAAAGTTTAGTTAAATTATGCCAGAGATGAGCAAGAAATTTAATTCCAATAAAACGTAGACGAGTCGACCACGGAGCTGCTCTCACCATATAGGGAGGAAGCAGACGTGATCGGTGGACAAACTTTGGGCACAAGTGCTGTGCTCTTGGACTCGAGCACCTGTTACAGCAAAGAATGTAATTTGGGCAACTTCCTGACTGACGCAATAGTACACGAGGTTTTTGGCAAATTTCTTATACTTTTTTATAAATTCATCCCTGCAAATTAAAAATTCAGTACACTGAACTAATAAACGATGATGCTTGGACTACCGTAGCAATTGCAATAATGAATCCTGGAGGCATCCGAGCACCGATGGGAGAGTCAGCAAGTGAGATAATTTAAATTAAATTATAATTTCTGTTCCTGATGGAAAATTATTTATCTTTAGATGTAACATTTAATGACCTGATTACGGCTCAACCATTTCAAAACACCATCGACACTGTTGAGCTTCAGGGCAAGGACATTGTTGAATTAATGGAACTGGCGGCCAGTCCTCCTTTAAACAAAATAAGGGCAAAGGACTTTGCAGATGGTGCAGGGTGCTTCCAAGTGTCAGGTTTGTTAGTCTAATTTAAAGCAATTAAAAACTTTACGTTTATTCAGGCATTAGAGCCAAATATGACATGAGCCAAGCCGAGGGGTCTAGGTTGGTGGACATTGCGTTGAAATGCTCAAAATGTGTCACGCCAGAGTTCCTGCCAGTAAACTCAGAAGAATGGTACACGGTAGCAATGCCGTCTTTCCTCGCCTCTGGAAACAGTTTTCCCCTTATAACCGAAAGGGGTCGGAATCGAACAATAGGTGAGTTTTTTGCAAATGAATATTTCTCGATAATATTCATTTCTAAAATAATAATTTTCCAAAAACAGGTCGCCTTGACACGGATGTTTACGTAGATTACATTAAGACGAAAAATCCTATTATGACAGGAATTGAGCACCGAATCACAGTTTTGTAGTTTTTGTTACCATTCAACTTTTGTTGTTTAATTTAAGTCAGTAAAAAACGCACTCACTATGGTCCTGAGCTGTCCTGAATAATTATGAATGTAAACTTGAATGTGTGTATAGGCGTGTGCGATTCCACTGAGTACATATTTGCCTTGTTTTTTCAATAACATTACTAAACTATGGATCCCTTAAAAACAATAAAATAGTTTTAATTATTCATTTATCTAGTTACCACTTTTTCGTAACTATTTTTCATTTGAAGCTTCAAATTCAGGCTTTGAACTTTAACCATGGAAAAAATAAATGAAAAGGTACTCACATAAAATTCAGTAGATCGTTTCAAGAACTCGAAAATCACGCCAGGTGTCAGGGTCGGGTTGGTGTCATGACACCAACCCGATTGCCGAATGTCCTCTTCAAGTGACCGTAGGCAAGCTGCAAAGACGGGCACATATTTAAATACACAGCAAAGTGGATGTTATCATTTTAAGGCCAGTTTAAGACATTATTAATAAATTATTATTACATACTCCGTAATACATAAATGTTGCACATTTTCTTTGTATCACCGAGTATGATAAAAAATCTTTATTAATTTTATCGAAAATCGGATCAATACAAATAATAGATTTTTCATGTGACAAACCTGTTTATATCCAGAAATGTATTGGACGACAATGGATCATCACATCAAAATTGTATAATACCCCGATGCACACACACACCCCAGGAGGAGACCAAACAAAACTATTTTGCGACACCAAACTGACCAAACACCAAAACTTTTTTGTTTTGATCAGCATCAGCAGGTTGACAAAACACATGGGTGGTGGTTTTTCGCGGGCGACGGGGTGCCATCTATGATCGCAATGCTCAACTGCTCGGTTTCTCGCTCTGCCTTTGGCTCCGCAGCGACAGCAAAAGGCTGAAGTTAAAATTAGAAACTACAGCCTTCGCTCATTCAAAATGATCACATTTTTTATTTATCGGACCTTAATTTGATCGGCGAACTGATTCCATGCATCATCGGCCCATTAGTCGTGCACTTAATCAGTAAGTTAGCCCCTGCGATGCGGGAGAGCCGCTCTGTCGACGCTGGAACCGCTTTTCGGAGAGGTGCATTCACCCTAGTCCAAGAGCCCTTTCTCTTTCGTTGCACCCTTTTCAGAGATTTTCTCGTTCTTGCGACCGTGGTTTTTAATTTTTACCCTGAAATCAGATTCTGCAATTCTCGTTGCATCCGTTTATCAGTATGACTTGAGGCTGCGACAGTAGATTTTGCAAAGGTATCAAGTTTCTTTGCTCGTACTGGAGGTCACACTCTCGATTTCGTTTGAAAGCAAGGATGACCATTTTGGCTCACATACCTCAGCGTGTCAGGAAGCACGCACAGCAAAAAATTTAATAACCACAATTTAAGTCTTTTTATTTAATTTTAAGTGAGTGTCAAAAACTTTGATGGAGCAAAGTGTCATATTAAATTAGTTTGATCCATGTTTGTATGTAATTATTATTAAAAATCTGTCTTAAAATAAAACATTTAATTAGAAACACTTTGATTTAATATTTGACTTCAATAATATAAACTTTAAAATAAATATATAAATCCTTATAAATAAAATCGCTAGAAAATTAATACATAAATTCGCACAAATTATTATAAAAAGAAGGTTCAGATTGTGTTTGATTAAATTATGATAATTTAATTATTCTTTAAATAAATTGCAGTTTTCACCCTTTCAAAATTTTATTTTTAATTATAATTTTTTTTCCAGAAATGAATGCTAATGAGATGGCTGTGATGGGCATCACCACAGAGTTGGCAAACTCGGCTTCGCCAGTCTCTTTACAACAGGCCCTGTCGAGCTGCAGCAGTTCAATGGGATCGGAAGAGGATGACGATGACATTCTCCTTAAAGTACATGCCATAAATCTACGTTTAAATTGAACCTTAAAAATATTTTTCTCATTAATAGGAAGTGGACTTTGTTGACGCTGAGGACATTTCAATGTACGTTGGAGACGAGAGTGTTGGGGATCACCCGACGTTGACTGAGCAACTTTTTGGAGGGATGGCCAACAGCCACAGCAATGTCCTTTTGTCACAGCCTACTACCAGCAATGAAGATGAAAAAACCTTGCTGAACGGCAAAATGGATCAGATTAAAACGTAAAATTTTCAAGATCGAGAGTGATTATTATTTTTAATAAATAAATTTGTTTACAGGCAAAACGATAAGAAACTATTAGATGGCACTAAGTTTGTTGGTGAGAAATCGGGCCTACGGAAACCTTGCAAATGCGAGTTTTGCGGAAAGGAATTCGCCAAGATCAAGTACCTGAACAAGCATTTGCAGCGGCATGTTGGTGATCGCAACCACAAGTGTGAAATGTGTGACAAATCTTTTTACTCACAACACGAGCTAAAGATCCACCAACGGAAGCACACCAAAGAGTCACCTTTCCAGTGCAACCATTGTGGAAAGTGTTTCCGACAACACTCCGGTCTCTACTTGCACAAAACCATCCACAGCGGGGAAATGCCTTACTCATGCGACATCTGCTTTCGCAAGTTTAGGCAGAAAATGGGTCTGGTCTGTCACATGAGGTGCCATACCGGTGAAAGACCCTATATTTGCATGCAGTGCGGACGGGGTTTTAGCTGCAACCGGTCACTCCGAAATCACATGCGGATACACACTGGAGAGGTAAATTTTTATCTAGAGAATGATGTATTTTATTAAAAAAATCTTAACTCATTTAGGTTCCTGAAAAGCGTTACCTTTGTGATATTTGTGGGAAAAGTTATGGTTTTGATAGCAGCCTCCGCAATCACAAGTTGACGCACACCGATGAAAAGCCGTTTGCCTGCAGCGAGTGCGGCAAAGGCTTCAAAGATGCCAAAATCCTACGGGAACATCTCAGATGCCACACCGGCGAAAAGCCGTACATGTGCAGTGTGTGTGGCAAAACCTTTTCGCACACAGGCACACTTTACAAGCACAAGCAGCTGCACAGAGATGACCGGCCCTTCCAGTGCACTACCTGTGGCAAAAGTTACAAGCTCAAGGGCCATCTTACTGTTCATATGAAGAGCCACTTTGAGTAGTCCATCTGAGCCAATCCTTGTGCCAAATTTGGCTGCTGAACCATTATCTGCTGAAATTTAAAGGACGCTTCTTTTGTATTGAGATTTCTTTTATTCTGCTTAGTTTGGCTGTGAGTTCATCGACGAGGATTGGATTTTCACGTTGTTCCTAGAGTCTCGTTTTATCCATCTGTTTTTGCAATTTTACTATGTGACAATGTGGCTTTTTTCTTTGTTTGTTGTCATTTTAATTTAAGCCTTATTACAATTGGTCTACTTTAAATTTACTTTGATATTGTACTGCGCAAATTACTTCATCCCCAATGCCTTGTTTCATTTGGTGGTTGACAGCCATTTTGATACTAAAAGACTTTGAACTAAGATTTAGTTCGTGTTGCAGTGTAAAGTATTATTTAGTTTCTCTGTGAGAAAAGTGAATCATAAGGTGTTCAATTCAATATTTAATTTAAGAAGTTGTCTTTCATCAACTGGTTGCTTTGCAAAGTTTGTTTGAAATCAACTGATTTTGAATTAAACAAAGCTTGTGCATTGTGTGCAACATATCAAGTCAGCTTTCAAGCTTCCTTCCACAGCTGTCAACAAGTTAATACTATTGAAGTAAAGCGCATTACCCCTCAATATAAGTGTATTTCAAGCAGGGTACTAAAATTAGCCCCTCTGACTTTGCATGCGAGTTGTAAAAAATAATCTAATAATATTACATATTACCCTTGGCAAAAGCTTCCTCCAACTTATCAGTTAATAATGGCTTTAAAATCAAATTTCAACATAACTTTGTGGAAAAACATTAACTATAACTCCTGTATTTTGCAATGAAATCCAAATATAGTCTTTTCCGAAAAAGGAGTAGAATTTATTCTAGCATTGTATCTAAAATAATTAAAAGTCCGCAGCAGCTTTGTGTCCAATGAGAATTGCCTCGGTCTTGTGATAACCTCGCTGAAGTTCTTTAAATATCTGATGCTGCTAACTTAGCAAGTGACTGCAATGGCAAGTGCGAAAGACTATGGTGCAATGATCAAGTGTATGAATAACATCTCTGATAACGTAATTTTTTAAAACCATTTATATATGTTTATAATTGCAATCATATGCTCGGGAATAATTTCAATAAATAGTTTTATTTATACATGATAATTATACAGAAAGGAGTGTAATTCACAATGCATTACCCACAGAAGAAACAGCACATAAAATGAGATCCATGAATGAATGTCAAAAATCCAATCAAAGTGAGTTGCAAGATTTATTCTTAATTTGCACAGCTAATATAAAGCGATTGAAATATATTTTTTACATATCCACCAAGTTAGTTATGTGAATAATCTGCATCGTCATTTACATTGTTTATACAGATATTTTCAAATTAAAATCCTTGATATTATGTTGCATCCGTTTTGTACCACTTAAATAGAATGCAGATTTAGTTTGGTATAATACGCTAACTTGATGATAAATTTCTAAATCATAGTTAAATTTATCTTAACTGATGGAGTACTAAACTTAATTTTCATTTGTGGCAAGAATAAAGTCTCATGATATCACTTAACACACCAATTTGATGATAATAATTATAATATGTATTTATATTTGACTTTGTAGACAGAATTCACATAAATTTATGGGAATGAAACAATAATTTTATCATTTTTAGCTTCTTGAAGATGAAATGTATAAGGTATTCGCAAGGTATATTACGCATTATATTATTTGAGATAATTGTAAAATGCAGACAATTTGTTTATTTTATTATTGGTTGCATGGTTTGGACCGATAAAAGTTTCAGATTATTAAATTAGCTGCAGTGATATAGATTTACACCCACGCATTCTTTATATTCATATATAGCATAGATGTTGTCTATACTTTTGACAGTTTGCTCGTGGCTTCAAAAAGGGAAAAAATTTCAAAATGGTTAAACCATAAATTTTGACACTGAACATGAAACAATTTTGCAGTGATTTTAGCACAGTACATACATAGTAATTAGATGATATCACAAGTGCTGTACATTTAAGAGTTTCACATACGTCAACTCATGGTGGTGTGCGTCCCATGTGCCACACGCACCTGGAAACTGTTAGCTGCCGGGAGGACACTGCTGCATTGTGAGTCTACTATTCCCTCTGTCACATCAGTCCATCAGCTCTACCGCCGGATCAGAGAAGTGCGTTCGCACCTCCAGATGGGCAGCCAGGTCAAACACCAAGTGTTTCAGAGCTGGGTGCTCCAGCAATTCCATCTCCGGGAGTGGAGGTTGACTGCGTGGTCGGAAGTGACGGCCCTAAAGTTGTGAAAAAAAAAACAATTTTAAATGGTTTTAATTAAACTCTGTAAAAACTTGCCTTAAAAGACCTGTGCAGATTAAGCACAACATCGCAAAAGACGTAGCGTAGCAACAACAGGCGCAGAAAATCGTCTCCAAAGAACTGCAAGTATGCAGGATCTGGAAAAGGTGGACATTTAGTTCCATTAAGAAATTTTAAAGACTCTTAATAACCAATTCTGCATCTTGTGAAGAGACGACTTGCTTCCGTCACAAATCTATCAATAAAAGTTTGACATCTTTCCCAGAGATGAATAGGTACAGTCATTATGTTGCAAATATAGCAGAAAGCGGTAAGAGGGCTGTGCAGGAATAGTGTAAACAAGTTTCCGTTGTGTTGGTGGTCTGAAATTTTAAATATTCAAGATGAAAAAAAGATAATATAAGGGCACAGACCGTAAGACACTTTGTCTTGGCCTGACCAAAAAAAAAAAAAAAAGTTAAAAAAAAATACATATATTACCAATGAATGATGCTGGAATATCTTGAGGAGACATGAGGATTACTAGAGGTTGCCCAAAATATCTAGGCATATGTTGGAAAACAAATGAGTTATCAGAATCAATGACGAGGAAGAGTGGCCGTCTTGTAAAAGGGTACAAGTCACCAGGGTACAAACTGAAAACCCAAAATTTATTGAGTCCGACAAGCAAAGAAAGGCATAGTTTTAAAATATTACCAGTGCATTTCTTTCAATTGGGTGGACTTTTTGTTTGGTGCGTCTAATTCCCTCTTGCTGCTCGTGTGAACTCCACCCAAATCATAGCCCACTGAAAGTATTTAGCATATTTTAAACATTTACTTCATTTTGAAATAAATTTATCATACTGTCTTCGGGGTGCTTTGAGTTGCAGAAACATCCGTCAGCAGAGATGTAGAGCATTAGTGCCCCATTTGGTGGAAGTTCTTTAAAACCAGACGCAAGGAACACAAGGACTTGACTCAGGGTTGGCTTGTAGAGCAAGTACTTGTGAGGATTCTCTCTTTTCAATGGTCTATCACCATTCTCTTGGCAACCAGAAACCATTGGGTAGCCGCCTTTAAAACTCGGTTTGTCCTTAAACTAAAAATTTTTTAAATTAACTTTCTTAATACAAAAATTCAAAACAAATTTCACATACTGAAACAGTTAATGAAGAAAAGGGAGGCCTTCCAGGTGCAGGCGATGCATCGTAAATGTGGTTAAAGTCCTCCTGAGGCTCACGCTCCAAGGTTTGCAGCATCCTGAACATGTCCATGGTCAGCTCGCTAAACTTGACTTGGTCGCTGCAGTTTCCGATGATGAGAATTTCTTGCAGGGACAAGTTCATGATGGGTGCTTTTTCAACTGGAGGCGTGGTCAGTGGACTTAGCCTAAGGGAGCACAGATCATTTAATGATTAAATAAAAATATTAGAATTAAATTTTACCTGTGAGAGAGTATTATGGGACTGCTGTCTGCATGAAGGACGCTGATAACGCTGTCCGACTTGATGAAGGATTTGATTTCCTCAAGGACTAAAGACCATTCTAATTGATCATCCGGCTCATAAGTACTGGTGTAGTCAACTATCTGTTTGTCCAATTCCTGAAAAAAAAATATGATTTAGTTTTAAATTCATGCTTTTTTTGCTAAATTCAAAAGTCAACACACAACAAAATGTAAAGCCTGTAAAGCTGAAAAGCAAATTGAATTCAGCAAATCAGAGCAAATTAACTCCAACAAGCGCATACTGAAGTGCAAGCAGAAGCCAATAAACTGATTCACACCACCGTGAAAAGCATATATTGTTTACTTGGAAACAAAAAAGGAAAAATAGTATGGAATTATAAATATGTAAATATTCCTCATGCTTGACCAAGAAAGACTCACCACCACCAATTCCCGAACAAGTTTCATCTTTTTTAATAGAAGACACACCACTATGAAACGGGCATAGTAGCGCAGCTTTTTCACCATAAGATCAGACCTGTGTATTTTAGTTTGCGAACAAGACCAAAGTTTTGAGTTAGAACATGAAGCCCATTGAAAAATAAAAATAAAAAATAAAAAAAAATCACCTGTCCTCTTTAGCTGCTCTAGAGTAATAAGCTCTGCCCCTAATGGCAGCGTAAAAAGAATACGCTTCATTCAAGTAATTGGTTTCGCTCGTTCGTAAGCTGTTTTTGAACAAATTAATTAGTAACTTACATATTTTTTAGTTTAATGAAACTCACTAGTAATGGTAATACAGCTGGCCAATCTTCGACGCAATTTCTCCTATTTGCCACCTCTTTAGTCCATATTTTGAATCAAGGACTTGCCTGTGCTGCTGTTGAAATTTCCAAAGTTTCGTGTAAATATCAAACGTCCGACCAAAGTATGCTTGCCACTGTTTGTGACCGTACTGAGGTAAATCTCTGGAAAATTAAAATGAGCACTCAAATAGTACATACAACAGAGACAGAACCTTTAAATATGGATACTTTAAATCTTTAATGAAGTATTAAACCAATTTTGTATTGAACTGAATAATCTATTAATTAAATCAATGTTTACATTGTTATCATTGATTCAAGTAAATGATAATTAAACCAGTTTTCCTCACAATTGTTCAAAAATTTAAATTTCCTTTGTATAATTATTTAGTTGATACCAATTATAATTGGCTATAAAAAATGTGTCGCTCACAATCATTCAAACTAAGCAGCCTAGTTTTAATCTAATTTTGTAAAAAACATAAAGCAAGTATAACGATCGCAAATTTATGTAACTGTCACAAAGTTAGCACTACGTGTAAGCAATTAAATTGAAAAGTTTAAAAACACAACATACGGGGAGGCAATGTTTTGAAGCAATAAACCATTGGGGTTGATGTAAGAGCGCCTAAAAAGTGAAACTCGCTTAAAAATCCATCATTCCACAGCACAAAGACGCGAACGACGAGCAGATTATTATCAATTTATACGGAATTCAAACAAAACATTGCAATTTGCGAACGAAAACGGCCCTGCCCACTCGAAGTACCGATTTCCGAGCCCCATTTTCTGGGCCAACCCCTCGGGTGCGCGCCCCATTGCACCGCGCAAACGGAAGCTCACCTCAAGCCATTGAATAATTGCTTGGATTTTTCGAGCAAATGACAAAATTCGATCACTATCTTCCTCTCATGTTCATCCATGCTTGCTGTGATGACCATTTCTTCTGGGAGATCTTTGCCTTTACTGCAATCAGCATAAAAAGTAGGCGTCTGCATTTCGCTTTTCTCTACCAACCGTCCAAAGTTTTAGCAAAACTTGGAATGCCCAATCTGCTCACGGAATTTCATTTTGAAATTTGAAATATTATCTTATACAAAAATTTTATAAAAATATTATTGAAAATATGAAGTTCAAAAATATAAAACTATTTTAACTATAATTGCTTATTTTACTTTTATTCTTAAAGGTTTGTAACGTGTTTAAAGGGACAAATGAATGGGCATTTAAAGCTCTCGCTCATTGAACACGTACAAACCCCCGCCAAACGCAAAAGCTCGCAAAATCACCTTGTTATGTACGCATAAGGCAAAAGCGTTTAAAAAAAGAACTAACTTTATTCACGTATCTGTATTAATGCAAAATATGGGTATTTCAAGCTCCATAATATATTTTTTTTACCGTTTTTAAAGGGATAAAAAGAAAAATTTAACTAAATAGTAATATTACAAATTGAAAAAAAAATTTTGTTGAAAATTTTGGCCATGGGTAATAATTCTTTTTGAGTAATATTTTACTTAACATTTAAAACTTAATCTTGTCCTCTATAATGTCGGCGAGAGGAATGTTCTCTCTCACACGCTACCAAGCATGTTGTGTTTTATCTACCAATTCTACCAAACCTACGTAAATGTAAACACACATGTGAGCCATAAAATATTTTTAGACAGCTACACGGACAGGGTTCAGAGGATCATTTCTCCGAAAGTCATGATTCGGAATATATGATCTTTTAAAAAAAATAATCAAAGCCTCGCGCATGGTCCAAGTTCATAAAAATTTAATTAAAGATATCCGTTTTTCTTTTTTAGCTAATTTTATATGTAAGTAATTTTCAAAGTAAATTTATTTTGTGGTATATGAACTTTATAAGGAACAAAGAACAGAGTCTCCCTTGTGCTCGCCACATAAAAGAGATGAGAGCAGGAAAAAAAATGAGCAGCAGCATATATATGTTTTGAGAAGACTTGAAGTATATTATGTAGCCCAAGAGCGCACGGTCATAAAAGTCTTATTGTCAGCAAAAGAGCGGATGCGACGCGCGCGGCGATTTTTTTTTTCTTTTTTAATGCAAATTAGTAGCATTCCAAGAGATGGTTTTATCGCGAATAAGCAGACAGACATGTAGATTATTAACTCGGCTCTCTACAGCCGCGCACTCACTCGATTCGCGCTCGGCTCGCTCACTCAGATTCAAATAAACTTGGCGCCGGTCCAAGCGCGCTTTAACGAAAAACAGCCTCTTGACATCGGAGGCAGAAGGGAGGGCGATCTAATTGTATCCTTTCCTTTAGGAAGCAAAAATCTCAGGGGGTCAGCAGCACACATACAGAGCAGCAGCAGCAGTACCGGTTAGTTTTCGCCTCCTCTCTGCGCAAAATTTTCAACTCGCAGGCAAAATTATATAAGCGCTCGCCTCACCTGCATCACGAAATGGGCAAACCTCCGCGTTTTCTTGCCCTATTGGCAGTTTTGATGCATTTCTGCGTCAGGTACGTGTTATTACTATTTTCCCATCACATCAATAATTTCATTCATGCTTCGTGATCTGTAGCACTTCCTTTGCTGATACCAAAGCAACTGCCGATAAACTGACAAAGGCCCTTCTGCAGGACCCCAACATCCACCAGAACGTTGAAATCCGTCCTCCAGGAATCAAAAATGGAAGTAAGATTTTCTAATTTATTTTATTATTTATCACTAATTTTTAATATATTGCAGAAATTAAATTTTTTGACACCCTGGCTAATATTAGCGGGGAGCCGGTCGTAGTGACCGTACACATCCAGATTTTGGATATCACACACGTCGACGACGACAAGCAAGTAAGTGCAATATAAGTAAAACTAATTTGATTAAAAATCCCAAGAATGTCATTTCAATTACAAAAAATATTTCAATGCAATTTTAATTTATTTTTTTTTACTTTCCACATTAATTTCAAATTATATTTGTTATCAATGATTTGAATAAAGTCTATAAAAGTATAGTTCCTTTGTTGTTAAATGAAACGCAAACAAGAGCCAAGTTAACTAAATACTGCTGCTCTCGGAGAACAAGGATTTATTTTTGCCACACTAATTGGCAAACAATGGACAGCGTGGTTTTTAAAATGCTAATTTGGACCGTTTCCAGGACTTTAGCGTGACCATGTACCTCCGCCAGCAATGGAGGGATCCCCGTCTTGCATACAGCAACCAAGACGGTAAGTCGCAGAGCCACCTATTGTAGTGCCCCTGCTCTTACGGAGTTAGGCATTTTGCCACTCTCGCCTGTCGAGCGGGTCGCCGGCCTCGGAACGCAAGGGGCGCTAGCTCAAGCCTCTCAAAATTCACGAGACCGCTCGCATCCTCACCAGCGTTTCAAGTAGCATAAATAAAGTCGAGGCTTGTTCTTCAGAGAGAAGAGCATGGCCTCGTTGTATTTTTTACTCAATGCCTCAAACGCTAGCAAGATTAAATGAAACACAGTTTAATAAGGATTTATATTTTCAAATTTGCAGCTAAATTGACAAGTTTGTTGATCACCGATCCTAGCAAAATTTGGATCCCTGATTTGATCTTTCTCAATGAAAAAGAGGGTCGCATTCACGACATTACCAAGGGGAATGCTTTCATCCGCATTCAAAAGCATGGAGAGGTCTTTTATAGCACCAGGTTTGGCAAATATTTTATAACTTACCATCAAAGGCCATTGAGAGTTAGGCCGTTTTGTTCTTTATTAGATTGACTGTTGCTCTTTCATGTCCCATGGACCATTCAGAATTCCCCATGGATGAGCAAATTTGCAAAATCAGTATGGAAAGCTGTGAGTGACAAATTTATCTGTAGATAGAAGATTTTTAATAACTAAAATGTATTCATTAAACTGAGTTTTATATAATTAAAAATTTTTAGATGCCCACAAAACTGACGAGTTGGTCTTTATTTGGAATGAAGACATTGAACCGGTGCTTATTAACAACAAGCTAACCCTGGAGCCTTTTGAACTTCAGGCCTACGGCTACGACCACTGCATATCTAACACCACCAGCGGAGAGTACAGCTGCTTGGAAATCGAGTTGAGCTTTGCCAGATCCGCTTTGGAGCAATTCCTCGTGCAGGCATATCTTCCAGTTGCTGCTCTCGTAATCGTTTCCTACCTGACGCTGTGGGTACCTGAACGAAGGGGTCCTCGCCTTATTTGCGCCCTGTCGGCTTTCGCCGTGACCGCTCTTACCGCTGCATTGGTCACTACCTTGGACCCTACTACCAGCGACGCCACTGCACTCGACTGTTGGTCCAAGTGGTCTGTGCTATTCGCATTCATTCCGATCCTCGCCATTTTAGTCACTGGATGTGGCCAGGTACAAAATAAATGTATTTTCATAAATGTTTTAAATATTTTGAAATGAAAATATAGGACTTAAAAAATTTAATTTATTTAAATATTTCTGTATAAAATTTTAGATGGACATTGACGACGATGCTGCCAAGGTAGTTGGTTTCATGAATTTTCCAGCCAACTCTCTCTTCGAGTCTGCTTTTGTCGTCTTTTTGCCGATCTTCTACATTGTGTTTAACCTAGTCTACTGGTTCTATTACTACAGTAACCAGGGCATTGATGGTCTTAGCACTGAAAAGAAATTTGATTTCGGTTTGGATTGAAATTACAATCCTCTAAATAATCAAATTTAAACGCACCTTAAAAAAATGTACCATTCTATTAAGGCAAGCACCTTTTAATTACGCACGCTTTTGAGTTCCCTTAAGTTTATTTATTTCTTCAAAGTTAAAACTCACATAGGTGTCTAGGTGAATCTTGTAAAAGTTGCACTCCTTAATTAATGAAAAGTCTATCTAGACGTTAAAATACAAAAATTAAAAACACTTTATGTCATAGGGTAATGTACCTACATCCATAATCAATAAATTCAATGTAAAGGCGAAAACATAATTTGCAGTTTTCCTATTCAACTTACAATTTTATTTTATCGAAACAAAAAATAACTTAATAATATAATATATTTTCAAACTTTTCTTTTATTTTTTATCCAAAAGAAATTATTATTTTCAATTTATTATAATTACAATATTTATAAATTCTAAGGCTTTAAATATTTTCATTAAAATGTATATAATTAATTTCATTGTAACAAAAAAAAAAACGCAAAAGCATTAGATGCTTTAGGAAGAAACCGTTTTAAATTGCACCGAACGCATTTTATCTGCATTATGGAGCATAATGAGAGTTAAAATTAATTTGCCTCGTCAGTATAGCGCGTGTGGTTGCGGCAGAGCAAATCCGCAGGCGTCGCACGAGGTGTGGACAACTGTGTGCTGCGGCCTATGCGCCCAGCTTCTGGTTGATCAGTGCTGCCTCTGCAGAAAACTCTTTGAGCGCAGCGATGATTTCGCAGAGAGCTAGCGACAGGCGCCAAGCTGGGCCAAGCGCGCCATTACTGAAGCGCGCATACGTGCCTGTATTGCGCAAAACTTGCCCAGAGGAGAAAGGACTTCTTGTCGCAAGCAAAACAAGGCGACACGCCAACGTCAATGATGCCGGGGATGTTGTGCGGTTTAACTGCAATTTAAATTTTTTGATGAGAAGAATATAAAACGGATAAGAAAAACTATGATTTCCCATCAATAAATGTTTTTACTATCTCAGCTTTTCAATGACAATTTAATTAACGAACTTTAATTTAATTTCAGCTTTCAGCTAGGATTATGTATCTTAATGACGCAAAATATTAATGCAAACAACTCTCTATCCTTTTAAACAGTGTAATTGTTTTTGATATCAAAAATTTTAATCTTTATCGATAGCTTAAATAGCAAATATAGAAATTACTTTATATTAAATATAATTATCTTCACTGCATACACTGTCTGCACTTTCTAAAATAAAATTTTCAATCGATTAAGCATTAATTGAGTTTGAGCTTTGAGGCAGCTTTCATTTGATTAAACGTATCTCTTATCTAATTCTCTTTAGAGCCTTAATTGATGTTGTAAAACACTTTTTGCTTCGAAAGAGTTAAACTATTAATAGCGTGTGGGAAACAATAAGCGCAGGTTGTTCCCGTCTGGATGCACTACATGCTATTTCAAATAGTTTTTCTCAGGCCGCGACTTCTCCATCTCATCACACTACTCGCGGCCTTGTAATTGTTATTGCGGCGAGCAGTGCTAGTTACTGCAATATAAATGCATAAATACACTCGGCTTGCTGGCTGGCATTGCAATCTCAGGGATTGATCTCATTTGTAATTACATCACTTGCGCTCGATCGCCTTATTGAACTGGATGCGCCTCGTGTGACTACGTGTGAGCAGCACACTTTTTTCCTACTCTCTCTGTGACGAGCGATAGTATTTCATCCAGGAAGAAAAAGAATCACGGGCACAGCGACACTTTTATGCTTACCCATAGTACGCACTGACGCTTCGGTGCCCGCTCGGGTGACATTTTCTAGCCGCTTGTGAAATAAGAGAATATCAATATCTCGTCTATGAGGTGTGTGCTTGCGTTTAATTATGTATGCCACCGCAAAGTGATATCATTCGAGCTATCATTGAAGGGCGGTGTCTCGTTGAAAAAGGGTCCTCGCCCTTTATGAAAAAACTTGAATCAAGCGAAGAGCCTCTCTTGAGACACGTGTGCGCTGCTGTGCTGCCATCAAAGATTGAAAAGTATTAAAAACCTGATTGAAAATCAGGCAAAAAGTATTATGTGCTTGTGCTCTAAAATATCCAAAAATTAAATATTGTTGCTTAATCTCCGCATACAAATTAAATATGGGAGTCATAGGATTATTTGAATATAAATTATTTGTGTGTAACTGTGTAGAATTACGCGGCAAGACCTCTGATAATCAAGTTTCTTTAAAAGCGAGTGTTTCCATAACATGTATTTTTTAAACATTTTTTTAATCTAAAATATTTATTGCAAACTAAAATTTCTCCAGACCTTTTTTAACTGCAGTCTCCGTTGTCTGGTCATTGGATTCTGAGGATAAAAAAAGCATTGTTTTGCATAGAGACTTTCAAGATCACTGAATGACCCATCGAGCTCGAATCACTGCGTCTTTTTCATGTGGCGTTCAGCAGACGCGCGCGCGCTCCTCTCACTCGCTCTTTGAAAATGGGCTCATTTTTCTCCTTTGATCATGCGGTGCATATTTTTTCTGGGTTGCTGCTTGTGCTTTGTTGATTTTAAGCTACTGCAAGTCAGCATGCACATTGTTACCATCGTCATAACATGCACCAGGCATATCTTCAAAGAATGTGTCATGTGCTCCTTCAGGGACGCGGCGGGCGGACTCATCTCCGTCTCTCTCGTTTTTTCGCTCTCTCTCGCCACAATTCATAACTCATCTGCATCATGCTTGTCGTCAGAACACTACATTCTACACGTCTCTGCAATTTCGCGATACATATTCAAAGTGTTCTGCATTATTTTAAAAACTCACGTCCGCCATGCATGCTTTTCTGGTTGAAAGTATATTGATTCTTTCTTCATTTATAAAGCATGCGCTTAAAAAAAAATTATTTTGCATATTTTGTATACGAGAAACACTATTCAATCCAAAATCATTAATTCCACAACAATTTTTTCCACAATTGATTGTTCTGACTTGTCTTTGAAATATAAACAAATTGAAATAGAAACAACATTGATTAAACAACGCTAACTCTTTAATGGGCGAAAAAAATAGTGGCGCAAAACCGCAAGGCGAGTCCGAACAACAAAAACAGATTTTGCCAGTCATTGCTATTTTCTGGCGCAGTTCATAAAAGTTGGCCGGCTAAAATAAGTTGTGATATCATTGCTGCAGAGCGGAGATGATGGATTTGGGTTTCGCCAGCAGATGTACGGACAAGCATTGCAAAATTTAATTTGAGGCAATGTCAGAAATCAGTGCAAGCTGTAATTTTTAAACTTAACTCTTTACCTACTGATTTTAATTCCTTGTGAAATTTAGAATCAATCGTTCCGCGATTACAGTATCTTTAGCATTTTATTACAAAATATCAAGGTTAATTTGCTTTTTGTTTTTAATATTTTTCCAGTAATTATGCCATTTTCTTTTCAAACAATCTTTTGAAGAAATTTGAGTAAAATATAATTATTTTAAATATGCTTAACTTTTGTCCAAAAAAGATATTTTTATTTTGAAATGTGGCATGTGTGCAACTTTTTTAGCACATCATTATCCATACTTTAATAGCATTTCCGCAGTCAAAGGCAGCAGCATGCGGCACTTGGTTTGCTTCCCTTTAACTATTCGGCGAGCGCTGCTACTGCCCGAGGTTAGCAACCCGCCGTGCACAAAAGGCAAAAATACTGTAACAAAATAAAGTAGCTTCTTTTTTATTTAACACATTAGCAGTATTGCCATTCAACGAAAGCAGTTGCGAGACACGTAAAAGTCTTTGGCTATTCACAAAGCCAGGCAAAAATTAATCGGATTATTTTCTCTGACAGCAGTAGTTACCGTGCGGCGACGCAAATATTGCACTTGTAGCGTTGTTTCGAGTGTGAATGCAAAAGCTGCTGACTTTGCTGTGGATTATATTTCATCGAAATTCTAAAAATACGTCAACGAGCTGAAAATACTTAGTTGGACGCACGTGTGGAGGTTAAATTCTGTATTAAATTTATTTATTTATAAAATATTTTCAAAGAAATCAGGTAAATTCATTCAGGTATTATTATTTTACCTCGCTCTCACTCTATTGAACTTTTTTGCATCCCGTTCTAAATTCTCTTTGACGCAATCTGCGCTCGAGAGCAAACTAAAAATAAGCCACATAAGTAATTCTTTGTATTATAAACACTGACAATGACCTTTTCGTACATACAGCCAGAAGCGCAACTCATCGTGGAAAAAGCACCGCGCGCGAAAAGCAATTAGCACAAAGCGAGGCCCGAACGCTCGGGCACGCAGGATACTATAAGTGAATAATGTTTATATGTGTAAAGCTGCATGTGCCTCGCCCGTGAAGGGACCGCAGCGCACAAACCAAACATACACACGCGTAGTTCATTTCAAAGTTAGGAAACACACCCGACGCGCGCGCGGCTAAATATATTCAAATGCCATTTCGCAATGACCGTACTCAACTAGTTTTTCGGCGCTCTGGCCTGCCAGCGTGCCGCTTTTCGCAAAATCTTAAGTCCTCTTACTCACACTCCCGATCGCGCCTATACATTCTCTCGCAGAGGGCTGTGACACTCAATAACCTAAAAGCTATTATCAGGACAAGTTCACGGCTGGCCACAACATTAATGAAACATTGCTTGCTAAAATATCTGGCTGACCTAAACAAACAACATTTTTTGTCCTGTGTCAAAAAAAATATATTATATATTATGTATTTTTATTTTGTAGCAATTAAATACAAATTTCTGTCGATTACGCAGAATTTGCTATGCCTGAATGATGAAAAAAATTAGATTTCAAATCATATAAAATTGCTTTAGACTAATAAATAAAAAGTCACAAGATGCTCTTTTTTGTTTTAAAATAACCTGTTTAGCGCACAACTATGTAAAAATCGTTCATTCATCCATTCAATACGATGAAGCAACAATTATTAATCACCAAAGGATATATTAATAAAGGTAGTAAAAAATAATATTTATGAAGTAATGCTAAATTCGTATTTCATTTTTAAAACGGAGATTGATCAAAATAATAAAAAAAAATCTCTGGCAATTTTTGCTGTTTTTTTTCGGCGATTAATTGCAAAGTGATTTTTATCCCGACCTGTTATAAAGATAACACAACTTTCTTAATTTCCAAGTTGCGTGGCTCAAGGTCTGAAACAAAATAATGGGAAAAATAAAATAAATAAATATGTATTGGAATGAAAAATAGCACAGTATAAGTGGGGTGGTGGTGGAGCAGTAGTTGGTGTGTAGTAATGCCCGCGCGCGCGATATACGTACTTATAATAAGCAGAGTCGGTGCCGCCTGTAAAGTAGGCAATGTGCTCTCCCCGTCTACCGCGCCGCACTCCGCCCGACTGGAATGCAGTGGCAGCAGTCAAAGATGGCGGCTGACTCGGGTATGGAGACGTGTCCGTCCCCAGAAATGCCCGATTCCAGAAAGAGGCCGCTGGACAGTGAAACGGAAAATGGCACCACGAAGAGGTCACACTACGGAGGAGGTAAATACCCGGCCGAACGGCTGAAATCGGCGCCCTGGGCGCCGATCTCACAATCACATACGTATTGGTGCCACGAATCGGTGTCTCGGCTCGGAGCGATCGGCCCTCGGGGCCGCCCCCGGGTACCTGGACTTTGTCACCGGGCCCGACCGGTCGGCGGCCGCTGCCGACTCGCGGCCGCGGCCGCCGGAGGGCCCACCACGGGCGTTGACTTTCGGGCCCGAGAGTTGCGAAATATAGTTTAGAGAGGTAGGTCCAACTCGTCAGCTGATCAGTGTGTTTAAGTAAACCACCGACTCTCGGTGCCTAATTGCGGAACGTTTATTTGCTCAATTTGCGCTGGCAGTGCCGGCTCGGCGGCGGCGGCCGGCCCTCGGGACGTCATGCGGTTTTTTCGGGATTTCGGGGCCGCAAGTTGAGGGTTGAAATGATCAATGACATGCAGGCCAGTGCGGCAAAAAGAAGAAGAAGGATAGGGGAGGCGGAGGGAGGGCACAGTGGCGATGCATGCATAGCCTAAGTACATTGCGACACTTCTTTTTGTTTCGCGCCACCCGAGACTGCCTTAATGACCTTATTAATCGAGGCTCACGCTCTTAATCGCTCGCTCGGTGGCCGAATTTTCCACCCGGCTGTATCGAAAAAAAAATTAAAAATATTCTAGAAACCTAAATTTTATAGAAATATTTAAAAAATAATTAATAATAAATTTATTGTTGTACTTATTTTTTAATTTAAATCAAAATTTGATTATCTCCAGCATTTCTTTCGGTAATCAAATTAAGCCGAGCCGAATTGGATTCGTTGGCCACTTGAGCTGGAACTAAAACGGAAAAATTTGCATGCCGTTCCGAGTGTGGCAGAGATAAAAATGGGTCGCCGTGCCTGCTGTCGTGTGTTTCTGTCTATCTCAATGCATGCTCAGGCATTCGGCCGCTCGCTCGCTCTTGCTCTAGAGTAATCGATGATGAGCCGGTTAGTCACCATTGTGTATTTATCTGGCAGTAATTTTGTGTTTTATTTTATAGGTCAATGAATGGGGGGACCGCTCCGAAGGTTGAAAGCCCTTTGCACTTGCTAGGGTGATGACGATGATAAATTTTGTATTGCGGTCGGTGGAGGGTTGCAAATGGTTCGGGCCACGCGTCCCTTTGTGCCAATTTAACCGAGATGCGCTCCCGCTCGAATCGGCAAGGAGTGCTGACTGAGGGCAGATCGATTGGCGCTAGAAAAGAAAGGGTGGAAACGAGTTATTATGAATTTTTAAATTTTTTATTAATTCCATTCTGAATTATATTTTAGTCTGAATATTTTTATCATTTATAACTTATTGTTAGACTGATGCATTTAACTTTGTTTATATTTTTACTTTTCAATTATTTAATAATTACTTACTTTCGATAGATCAAGTTGGATAAAAGTCGTATGTATGTTGGAGAAAAATCCTGGAAAAAAACGGAAAAACCGTTGTCAAAGTTTATACAATTTATCCGAGCCAGAGATACAGAAAAAAAAATAAAATTTTAAGATTTTTATAATGAACGGAAAAATTTTTTAAATTAAAATTTTACGGCATGATGAAATGAATATTATTAAAAACCAGTATAATGTGGTAGAAATTGCAGAGTTATTATTAAGTTCATTAAGAATAAAAATATTAATTTTACTTTCTAAAAATAATAACAGTAAACAAAGGCAATACTGGGCAATACCATACTAATTTAGGATGAACAATCTTTCTGAGCCTGGACAAAATGTGACGTCTATGAGGAAAGCACAGTTTGAAGAGCCCTTTTCATGCAATTAGCCTTTTCCGCTCAAATGTTTTTTTTTTTTTTAATGGCTTGTAAAGCTGGGCAAAGGAATTTTCTGACACGTCCTCCCAGCTGAGCGTCCAAGCACATGAAACATTCTTTCGGTGAAATTCCACCCTGACAAGTGAGGTGTCACAAGCGAGCCTCCTATTCCAATATTATTTCACCAGCGGCACTTCCACATTTCACCATTAACGATAATTGACCTCTCCCCGGTCGTATTAGAGACCAAGATTTATTTTTGTCCGCATTTGTGCGTGGGCACAACGCGATAAATCGTTCAACTCCAACTAAAATAACAATCTGGCCGGCGAGCGTTTGTGTACTGCTTAAATATTCTATATTTATTCTTCCCTCTGAAAGGAAATCGATGACAGCTTGCTTATCATTTATTACTAAACACAGCCATCCCTCTGCAAAGCCCAATTGTATTTTTCTTCTTTCTTTTTTTATTAGAAAAGATTTTTGGTTCGAGGGATGTTGGTTTGCTAGGTCGTTTGTGCGAGGCGCGGTGCCAGGCAGATTGATATCAGCCCTCGAATTACCACTGGGGAAAAATGATCATAAATTTTTTGGTGCACAAAAACTGAATAACTAAACATATAAATTCCCCCTTTGTTAGCACGCGCGTTCTCCTTGAGTTTCTTTTTCTGCAAGTTCAGCACCATTCGGGTTTTTTATAACTCGATTTGGGGAAACCTTTTTCTATGAAAACGCTGTCAGTTTCTGTTCAAATTCACTCGCCATTGCATATTTTCACTTTATTTCATTATGCAGACGGCCTCTCTCGCAATTGAGCTTCACCTAGATACTTTATAATAGTGCGCGCCGTTTGCTCCTCGTTTTATTGATTTTATCAAATTTGGTTTTTCGCGTGAGGCTTCGCGTGAGGCTGCTGTGATTGAGGTGGCACTTGATTGATCGTTTATCAATGAATATAATTTTTATTTCACCGCACAGCCTGTCTGGTCTGTAACACTTGAGCCCTTTTATTGTTGGAAAATCAAGAACCAGTTTGGCAATGCCCTTTGGAAATCGTTTTCGATTCACATTCGCGTGATATTTTTAGATTGAACTTCTCAAGTTTTTATAACTATCGTGTCATTCTATTATGATCGATCCAGACAGTTTTTCGACAAAGTTTACTGAATTTGTACATAAAAAACCGTTTAAAATGGGGCTTATTTTCGCTATTTTATTAATTTTTGTTTAGTATTAATATAAAATGAAAATATTTTAATTTCCGTGATTAAAAATTTCATTTATTCAAGCTTTTTATTACACATCTCAGAAACTCTAAATAAATAAATTGATAAATTTGTTCGCCCAAAAATTGATGATTAATAACTTTTCCTATAACATGAAATTTTAATGATGATTTTTTTTATGCGACCAATTTTATTTAATATTTGTGCTACAATTAATTATCAGACATCCCCTATATATGATATCTGAATAGAAATGACAAATTTCAATTTATAAATAAAAAAAATAAATCTTTGTGATTGATTAAATTTTGGGAATAAGGAAACTTATTCAATAGAAACTTTTCCGAGAAATTATCAGAACTTTAAAGAGCTGGAGATTTGCAGTTTAAACTCTGGAGATACTCGGAATTGTGCATTTTTATACGCTGCTTGTCTCTCATAATATATTTGCATGCAAATTCAAACAACGGTATAATAAATCACAAAGGCTGGAGACGCTCAGTCCGTCAAGTTTTCCAAACAAGAAACACCACTGCTTGAGCGCAAGTTCGCCTTGAAAACTTTTGCAAGCCAAAAATTACAAAATTATATAAACACGTCGCGCCGCATTTACGTGTACACACAGATTTGTGCCGCTTCATATATCCCACAAGAAATTACCGCATCAAATGAGTTTAATTAGGCAGAAAACTTCAATTGACGCGTGCATTAGCACACGAAGAACGCATAAATTATCGCTTTTGTGCCACCACTATGCACGCACAGTCAGCAGCAATGCGATTTTCCTCGCAGACTATTTATCCGCAATAAAGACACGCACGCGCGCGCGCTTTTCTCGCGCGATAACGAAGCCTTCTTGTTTTTCTATGCAAGTTTTTTTTTACTTGGTAAACGTCATAAATGCATTATAAATAAATTGATTGAGAAATCAACGCGCAAGGCGACGACCATAATAAATTGAATATCTACATATAAGCAGTTGACATTGAGACACAAGAGTTGCAACTCTGCGCATAAATTAATGTCTCGCTGGCGAAAGAAAACGGCGAGCGCCGCCGTAAATGGAGTAATTAACGCAAAAACGGTCGCGCCATTAATTCGCGTGGCCTGTCGCCGAAAATTCTCGTTTTGGTCTCGTATATGCGTAAACCAAACAACGGCGGCGCACATGCGTCGTGTGCTTTGTTGTGCTTTTTTTAGTGCCGCAAAAACTTTTTTCTGCAATAGACAATTGGCTGCGAGCATGAATTTTTTATCGTTGATTTTGCAGCAGAGACTGTTGGAGTCGTGCATGTGTTTTGACTGATGTTATTGATTGGCTCTCGCGGAGAGAAAGAAAATAAAAAGCGTTTTCTGGCTGCCACTCTGGCCGGCTTGAAGTTTTTAAAGAAAGAAAGAATGGCTCGGCGCGAGGAGTCGGTCCGACCATCGAGCGAACGATAATTAGTATAATCCAATAAAAGGCATCGCGTCGGAGCAATTTCGGTGTGCATTTGATCCGCACCTGCACTGCCAAAACTCTTTAACGTGACATGAGTGGGTTGGTTGGTTGGCCTTTTGCTTTTGCCGCACAACGGCAGAAACACTTTTTTTACGATGAAATTATCGTGGCTTTGTTTGTGCTTATTTCACTGCTTAGCCAGGGGATTGGTAGGGACGGGAACATAAATGGCGTGGCTTGTCATCAAATTTAACTTTTGGGGGAGAAAAGGCGCACAAGATCAGCTCAACCACTCTCTAGAACCAAGGACTTTTTGCACTGCTTTTACATTCAACGCTCCATTTCTGCAGTGCTCGCTTTCGTTGAGATTTTCCTGCTTTTGCAGGGAAGGAACTGAACCGGTTCGCCTGCCATTTGTCTCAATGTTTTGCAAATGCATAAAGAACACCGAGTTGAACGCCGCCAGGCTGATAATAATATATGCGCGAAACTCCTCAACGCTTAACCATTCAGTGAAACTCTTCATCTGAATATCGTCAAGCGTATTCAAATCAAGAAATTAATTAACAGAGTTTATATTTTGATTTTGTTTTTACTTGATGACGAACGAGAGGTAATCAAATTTATTTCTCAAATTTATTTGCTTTTTATTTCGGTTTTGGTCTTAACTGATCAAGTTTCAAGAAAATCTATTAATTTAAAAAAATTCTGAGGTTTAAAAAAAAATTATGTAAAGTTTAGTACCAATGAAAGTAAATTTGGAAAATTAATACAATTTAATAATTTATTTTTAAAATAGTTAATTTAATCAAAGGATTATAATGATTTACTATTAAAAGTATAATATTAAATGACCATTTTTAATCATTGATTTTGTACTTCTTCAGATTTTTGAAAACTTGACGAGACGACATATTAACATTGAAAAAAATGAAATTCAAACACAATGATCGAAAGTTCAAAGCTTTGATTTTCTTAATAGTCGCCATTTAAAATAATTATAAAATTCTTTACAAGAGTTATAGCTGCGCTCACAACCTCCTAACTATGGCGAGTCACGTCAAGATGATAACAAGACTCGCGCTCTCTCGTAGTCAGCAGTCGTCACAATATAGATTTCTTTTTTAATTTGCATATTAAGTACATAATTATCATTTCTAAAGACCTCGGCACTTCAACTTGTAATTAGCAGAATTGGCAAAAAAAAAGAGTGAACTTGTTTTTCTACAAGGAAAGCTACATCGCCTTTTCACTGAAAGACTTATTTTGAAAATTCACTTCTTTTATAAGCAACTGCAAAGAAAAACATAAAATTTTATTTTCTACGTCACTGGGTGATTTTGTCGCAACAAAAAGCCTTTTCTTTTTTTCATTCTTTCCGCGCGCGAGATCTGGCGCCCCCTAAAAAACGACGTCGTTCGCTTCTATTTCAGCTCGCAAATTTCCCTGTCGGCTTTTCATGGAAATGCACCCACGCGCTGAGTGTATATTATTTTCCAAGGCGCGTGGCTCAGCTGGCTGCGGCCGAAGTGCGTTTTCACGCAGCCTGTGCTACATTTAAGCCCTGACATCCGCAGGCGGACTGCATTGCCGCGACCTGCCTGCACACGCGACCGCTGCCAAGAAGTCCCGCAGCTGCCAAAAACTACGCGCCGGTCGATCGGGGTCAAAGGTCGCGCCTCTGGTTGCCGACTTTGCAATTGAGAGTTTTTGAAACGAATGCATTACTCATTATTTATTATTGTGGTATATGGAGAGTTGCGCGGCTGTTTGACTATCTCTCCGCGCTGGCGAGATAAAGTGCCGTCGGTGGGTGAAGGTCGACCAGTCAATGAATCCCAAGTTCAAATATTTAGAGACGCGTTATACCGTTACGCATGGTAATGGGAAGAGCGCCGTGCAGTGTTGTGAGGAGCGCGGCGCTTGGTTTTGTTAGTTAGCACTTCCGACACAACGCTGCTCTTTGTTCTGTGTGGTAAACAATGAGCATTTTGTGCAATCCGATTGCCCAACTCTTGCCAAAGCCCATGATTGCTCCATGCTAAATTTAAACTTGACGCTTGATGTACGATGTACATACGCATTCTCAATCAAGTTTTTGTATCTTAATACAAATTAACATTCAAATGGAAAAAAAATGGAAATTTTAATTAAATTTTTCTTGGATAAATAAATGTAAAAAATCAACATTGTCTTATTTGCGCCAATATGTAAATTCTGTGGAATCCTACCGCACCTTTATGCTGTGTAATTTTACAAATTAAAAATTTACTTTATTATTTATTTTTTAAATTTATTGCTTGAAAATAAGAATTTAAATGCATTATTTAATTGTAAGAATAAGTTTGATACTGAATAGTTTACAGGCATTGGAGGTATCTTTTTATTTATTTTTATATTCAAATGAGCAATTTTAAAACAAAAATGTTTTTTTTATACAGTTTAAAGTGATTTGATACTCCATAAACTGCCTTTGCCAAAATAATCTCATACGCTAAGCTCCATCTCTCCTGGAAGTCGCGCCTATAGTGACATTTAAAAGCAAACAATAAATTAAATGCAAGATAAAAGAGGACAGCGATATCAACGTCACCTGCACACGGCACTGTGCTATTTGACATTTGAAATTTTATCACTCAACCAAGCATGCCTCATTGGAGGGTGTGAAATTAATTTTTCTTGGCTGCTCCCCTAGAGATTCTAGCGGTGGGTCCGTGTCGCGCTCAATGTCAATGGTGCATTATGCTAAAGCGCCAGCAGCAGTCGATAGGGAGATGATGACATGCCGGCGAGCCGCTTTGCCTGGCGTCATGGGCTAGGCATATTTTTTCTTTCTTTTTTACGAGCCGTGGCAGTTATTGATGGCCCAAAGAATATTCTTTGCTATAGAATGAGATTTTTTCAAAGTCATATATTAAACTTAACCAAAAAATTTTCTCCTTGTTTCAGGTACTGAAGGCACATTCCATTTTAAAGTGCTGGTTCCTAGTATAGCAGCGGGTGCCATCATAGGCAAGGGAGGCGAAACAATAGCTCATCTGCAGAAAGATGCGGGAGCCAGAGTCAAAATGTCTAAAGCCAATGACTTTTACCCTGGTAAGTGACCCAGTAATAAAAATAAGAATGTATTTAAATCACTCTTTAATGTTCTCCGTACACGAAATTACACTCCGGCTATCATGAGGTATTTTCCAATATTCTGATTACTTCTATTGTTGCAGGAACGTCTGAACGTGTGTGCCTAATTTCTGGTAGTATTGACGCCATAATGGCTGTGCTTATTTTTATTATGGAGAAAATAAAAGAAAAACCAGACCCAAATGCGAAGCCAGCAATTGATTTTGACAATAAAACGGCAGCAGAAAGAGAGAAGCAGGTCAAGATCTTGGTGCCCAACAGCACTGCAGGAATGGTGATCGGCAAAGGCGGCAACTTCATCAAGCAAATTAAAGAAGAGAGTGGATCTTATGTACAGATCTCGCAGAAGGCCAAGGACCAGTCCCTGCAGGAGCGTTGCATTACTGTGATAGGTAGTAAGTTTCAACCACTTGCGTATTTTACTTACTTTTCAATCTAGCGGAAAAACGTCATAATTCCATTACAATAAAGATTTGTATCAGCATGTCATTAATCAATATTGTTTTACTTTCATTTTGCATTGCTGAATACTTTTATTTTTCTAATTAATTTTTCCGCTAAACATTTTATTCAGAAAATGCATCTCATTGATTATTAAATTTTTTGCAGGAGATATAGAGAGCAACAAGGTAGCTTGTCATTTAATCTTGCAAAAAGTGGTGGAAGATCCTCAGAGTGGAAGCTGTCTTAATGTTAGCTACGCTGATGTCACCGGGCCAGTTGCAAATTTCAACCCAACTGGGTCTCCATATGCTAACATAGTGGCTGGAAGCACTACCGGTCAACCAACTATGCACAACAGTGCCACTTTCAGCTCAACTTGCAGTCTCAATTCTGCTATAACCTCAGGTGTGTGTGAGTTAAATTGTCTGGATATTCTATTAATTTTTTTAATGAAAATAAATTTACTGTTCTTTGAGTTATAATTTATATTTTGTAAAAAAAGAAATACTTAATAGAAATTGATAAAAAGTAGCATCAGGTATAATTTTTCCACATTGTCTGTATTACGGGAATTTTGAATTTTCCAATTTATGAAGGGGTCGTACCAATCGTTCACATTGTTTCTCATGGGAAAGTGGAAGGGGAAGCTTGAAAGTTTTTCTATAACATAAATTATATAATTTTTAAATTTTAATTTCGTTTCTTTTCCACAGTCAATGCAATGAGTGGCATAGTCAGTCACACGGGATCTAATCCGCTCAACGGCGGTCCCAGTCTCAACCTCAGCCTTAACCTGAATGCCCCAGCAGCTGCCAGCAACCCTTCCCTCACTGCCCAATTGCTGGAGCACATCAAGGTTACTCTGCGATCCAGTGGCTACTCTGACCAGGCCACCATGGAGATTACTTCGGCCATGAGTACCCTGGCCACCTACGGCATCTTGGGCATGGGGCTGGGCCTGGCCGGCCCGTCCGGGTTGACCGGCGCGCCACAAGCTACTGCCTTTCTACCACCAGGAGTGACCCCCATGGACGCAGCTCCCTCACAGCCAACCAACGGTGTTGGCAACAACGGAGTCTTTGGCCCGATCGGCACAATTGGCGCTGGACTCGGAAAAATGTCTCCAACTCAGCAGCGAGAGAACTTTGGCCAGTTAGCAGCGGCCGAAGGCCAGACATTTGATCCGTTCAGGCACCAGCCAAGCCCAACAAGCATGGGCTCTCCCATCAATGCCACTCTATCGCTCAATAATAATTCATTTGGCCTGGGCACTCAGCAGGCAATCAATGCCATGTGCAAGAGTCCCACGCCGGGTGAGCTCAAGGATATTAAAAAGGTAGACTTGGAAGTAGGCGAGAATATTGTAGGTGCTATTTTGGGGCCCGGGGGCAGGTCGTTAGTGGAGATTCAACATCTCAGTGGTGCTAACATTCAGATATCGAAGAAGGGCACATTCGCACCTGGCACGAGAAACCGCATAGTGTCAATATCGGGAATCCCGAACGCGATTGCCACGGCTCAGTATCTTATAGAGCAACGAATCAATGAGGAAGAAACTAAACGAGCCCGTAACAATGTACTCGGCGTGCTGCAATAATGAAGGGGGCGCCCTCGGGAAACAACAGCCCTTCTCGCTGTCACAGTGATAGAATGAATCAATTTTGTTGAATTCCTTGTCATATTTACCGTGTGACGTATCGCCTGCTCTTCATTTTTTTATCCCTTACTCTGAAGGAAACTGCTCTTGTGTGTAGATTCCTTATTTACCTTATAGCAAAGTCTTTTGTTACATTATCTTCTATTCTATATATATTTACTATGTTGCCACTGCGAATTTTAGGTACTTGGGACACGCTAATTAATCAAAAAGATCAAGGTAACTTTGCATGAATATTTATACATTACATATGACATAGACACTCACATAAACATTATTATATACCAGCCATTATCAACCAATTACGCGCGCATATGTATATAGAACACCGGCCATATTCCCCCGAAGTCGCATTTTTCAAAAAGCCTGCTTAACTCGTGAGCGATTCATTTTCCAATGATAATGTGATCACATCTGACAACAGAAGACAAGAACCCTCCCCATGATGGCAAGGACTGGAAACTTGCTTTTGGCTGTGTGGCCACTAATATTGGTATTCCATTTTTTATTTAGTTGTAAAATATCCAATTTATTTTTTAGAAAAGTGTACTCCTGCGTATAATGAAATTTGATTAGTTGAAGCAAAAGCAAAACAAATATTGATTCTAAAGTTAATTTCGGTTTGGATTTTCAAAGTTTTGACAAATTCGCCTCCAGTCCTTGACGTTTTATAAATAATTCTGGAGAGTGAGACATTGAATTGTCCAGCCAATAATTCGTAGGTTTTTAATATGTAACAAAATGGGGCAAAGGACTTCTTGATAAACAATCTTGTAACGACTGATTAACATGGTGGTTAGGTTTAAGACGGACTCACGAAACCTGCTAGAGTTGTCAGGGCCCTCCCGGACTTATTCTGTTCCTTTTCACCTACCCTGAAATAGCGTTCAGGATTGCCCGGCCTAAAATCTCAGCAGGAAATTAGCAGACTGGTTTTATACCTGTAATTAGGGTAACAGGTTTTTGCCTTAAAATTGTCATTCCATTTTGCGAGTTTCTAATTTTCCAATGAAGGAATCATCACTTGGGCATTGGGTCGGATTGGCGAAAAGCATCACTTGCGGTGCACTAAATTTTCATTGAGTAATGTTTGTGAGCAGAGGAACAGCAAAGCACAATTGATTATGGATTTCAAAAAAGATAATGTGTTATTAATATTTTCTGCAGATCACAAGTGTTTTTTGAGTATAAATTGCAATGATTTTGACCTCATTGTTAATTGATTAGCACTGTGATAAGTGATGAGATAATGTAGCGAAACACAAACTTGTGTGATTTTTGTGTTTGATTATTTTTTAAAGCTGAAGCACAATTCTATGCTTGTTGACACTCTGGAGAAACATATTTTTTTGTTGATGTTAGTTTTTACCAACCATGAATGGAGGAAAAATGCGAAGTTGGAATTGCTTAATGCTCTGATTGATAGAAAGATAGTTAAATTCCCATATTCAATTTTGAAAATTATTAGACATTTTTAGACAACACTGCATGTGCGTGGGGGAATGGTGGTTTTTCATGAAAATCATATAATACTTGTAAAAAAAGAGGAACTAGTCTTTCAATAAAAACAGCATGCACAGTGTGTGATAATTGAGGCAAATCGAAAGTAATATCCATCAATTCACTCATTAAAAGGAAAAGTAAGAAATAGTAATAGCGTATAAAACCGGCAGAAATTTATCCAGTGAAGCGAGATGTTTGTTAATATGTTGTTGAAATAGAAAAATGAGCCACTGCGATGGGTCTACCAGAGATGTGTGCTCTGCGCAACTCTGAAGGCTTTTCACGAGCTTCAAATCGCGTTTTCCTTTTGGTGACGGTCCTCTGCTGACTATTACAGACAAGACGGCTATCTTGTTATATAGCAAATTTTAATTACTACATTCTACTAGGCTTTGAATTGCATCTAATCATTATTGATTATTTAAATTTTTGCATTATAATTATCTTACTAATATAAATCATGCTTCTTACGTAAAATTGGAATTAAAATTTTATTCAATTGAATAATTAACCGGTAGGTAAACTTTTTCAAAATCAACTAATTACATTTTAATAACGTCCATTCATGATAGAGTTATAGGTAAGATTTTTCATATATGAATATGAATAGATGCATCTAAATATATATTTACAACTGTTAAATTACAATTAGTGTGACATATATATTATTTTTCTCTTTTTTTCCCATCAGTGACATGTGATATTTCATTCATCTCTATATAAAGCTTGGTATTTTTATTTAGTTGTGTCGCTTTGTTTATTCAATTTATTGCATCCAGCTAATGACCCAATTTTTTAAAGTTTTGATCTACGCGTTTTGCTGTTGAGCAAAAGCGAATCGAAAAATGTTACCATTGACGCTGCTGACCATAGCAAATTTGCTATATATGGGCATATCCAACATACTACGCATAAAATAAAAGCAATGCATGTAACTGAATTCTACGTTGTGAGGTTGGTGTATGGGCATTGTTTTTTTTTTCAACTTTCCAGGCTTGCAAGAAGGCCGTCATTTTTTTTTTTTTTTTTTATTAGACATTGAAAAGGATTGAAGGCAGTGTAGATTAAAGTTACAAAAAATAGTATACTTCCCAATTGTCACCTTTGACTTATATAGCTAAAATTGATCCACGTCTTCATCTCCAATTTTTGTAGAATATATAATATTTGTTCATGCATAGCTTTGAGAACACACCAGTCATCCTTGGTTGTATCAGTTGCTACATAATTACTGACGCAAAGAGAAATTAGTCAAGCCAAATTGAATTTTGTTTGTTTGTTTTCCACCATCCACCGTAAAATACATATTAGGAGAAAGTTGGAAATAATTAGCAAATTTTCCACAAAATGTTGGAATAGCACTGGTAGCAGTTCTGTGTAGATTTTATCTTTACCAATGTTGCGAAATAGGTCTGACTTAATGAATTTTGATTTTTTTGCATAGATTTATTGTTTGTTGACTTTGTCTTAAGGTGTTTTGTACAGTCGACTTAAGTGTTGCGATGAAAAATTGTTGTAATACACGAAAATTACACGCCACTTGTACTGCCTGTTCCGTCATTTATAGAACAACAAATTTTGTAACATGATCCCCAATCGCGTCATCACATAACTTACACTTACACAATAAAATCTTTTCTCAAAATTAGTTGATCCTGTAGCTGTTCCTATGAATGAGATAAAAACACAAACTTGCAACACTCTTACTGTTTTTGAGTATAGCTGACACACTGGACTAATAATAATTTGTGTGCATAATCTGATGAAAATTAGTTTAATTGTTACTTATGGACAAAAAATAAAATGTTAGCAGCGACTTACCATTAAAAGCATGAGAAGTAGCCTTGGACTTTGAACCCTGACATTGTTAATTATTAGAAAGGATCCTTCCAAATCCACGAAAAAATGTAAAATAAAAAATGTAGCTCTGTTACATTTGCTGCATCAAAAGCTCCTAGAAGGAGTCTGTGAGCCATAATTATTAAGCAACAAACAACTTTTTACACAAACTTCGTTGGGTTCATGCTATGATTGTTGATGTTTTTTTTTGTCAATCGTCCCTTTAGATAACACAACAGAGATTTAGTAAAACAATACTGAATGCAATGCACATAATTTCTCTTCTCAATAATAAATTTAGGCCTAAAAAGCGTTACTAAAGAAAAGCATCTTCTCTTACGTAATTATAATAAAAAAATGCACCTTTAAAGAAAAAGACTGGAGTCATTAAAAATCGTGATTGCATAACAACAATGTGTATAACATAATTACATTGCATAGTAATCAAATGAATAAGTGAAATGTGTATGATATGAATTCAATCCTCTTCAATTGTGTAATTCAATTTGTACTGTAATTATAAAAATTCTCTCCTTTAAATGAGAATATCAGCCACTCATTTATTGATTGTAACCAGTCGCGCATGATTAATTACATTAATTACATAATGTAGCTGTAGCAGTGACCGCCTGAATTGTTGTAAAAATTCAATGGTTCAGCCAAATTTCAACAGGACTTGGGAAGCAAAGATGGTTTGCTAGCAGGCAAAACCCTTAATGAGATAATTACACTGATAACAAAAAATGTAATTAGGCACACAAAAGTTATTATTGCGAAGTTATACACAAACATCACATTTAAGATTTTGAGTGGGAGTTGGTTTTCAGTTTTGATTTCTAGACTTTTTGTAACTGCATGAGCCGCCTAATCGGATTGTACCGTAATATTTTCATTATTTAGCTGTTACTATAATTCTATAATCTCTGTTTAAGTAATGCATATACACAAGACACAATAAGATTCATGATAAGCAGATTGAGAAGTGCTAATGATGAGAAATTGAAGTGTTTTGACTTGACAAGAAACTTGTTACTTTTATTAGGTAAATTTTATGTGTATGTACGATGACATAAATCTCACTTAATAAACATTAAAATGCATAATTGATGTGTTTTTTTTTCCTTTTAAAAATGCCTCCTTATTGAAAAAAATAAGCTCTTAATCTTGTCAAAATAACTTAAACCATTATTTAAATGATTTTATATTTCTTTTGTGAAAACGTAATACTATTTCATTGTTCATAAAATTTTGGGATGGTAAAAAGAGTTAATCTATCTAGTTTTTTTTCTGTGAAATAATATATAATTTATAAAAATCAAAATTTACAAAAATTAAAAAAAATTTCAAAATGTTGGTCAGATATGGGTCAATGAATTGTGCATTATAAGAATTTTGTCGCAATTTGCTCACGATTGCAGAACTTTTAATAAAACCTCATTTTGGCCACACATAATTTTCGAATCTTTTACGCGTTTACACCCAATCACGCCCATTAATGATTTATTAGGATAAATCAATGTTTACGCATTTTACAGGGGGTTCTTCGACTCCTGGCCGTACCAGGTTTTCGCGGTTTTGTTTGTACAAAAAGGGGGCGTCACTTTAATTCAAGAAGTCAATACGGCCGCGCCCACAACCAGTGATAAAAATTGGACAGATGAGAATCATCAATCGTTTCAGTAATTCAATTAAATTACAGGCAAATAACGTCACCGTTGAATACATGTATGATGCGGTTTCGGCCTCAGATACCTCTATGAATAAGGCGTAATTATATTTACCATGAATCGATAAAAATTCACTTTTCCACCCGATTTTCACAAATGGCTCAGAACAACGACGGCTGGGTCAGGAGGTTTTTGGTCACTGACCCGCAGAGGCATCGTCGTGGTTTCACAGTTTATAAAGTCACATCTGTCGTAAGTTGATTAATACATAACTGGATTTACGTTCCTGTTTCAGGCACTCGTTTAAATTTTAATCAATGTTTTAGGAACACTATATGTATTTGTAATAAAATTGTCATTAATTACATTACGTCATTGTGCTTTCCTATCTTTTTGCCACAGGTTTATCCTGTATCGTCACCTGAAGCGGTCACAAAAGTTGTTGTTTGGAAGAGGTACAATGATTTTAAAAAACTACACAGAGAATTGCAGAGCAGACACGAAAAACTCTACCTCAAAGGCACCTTCCCTCCGTTCTCGAAGCCCAGTCTCTTTGGACGGTGAGTTTATATTACATAGTTTACATAACTATAGTTACATAACTTGCTAAACAATAAGTGCGTAAATTAAATTTAAAATTTTCAACAGTTTTGAAGAGGAAGTGGTCGATGAGCGACGGCTTGCTGCTTTAAGCATTTTGGAATTTGCAGCAGAACATGTTGCTCTCTTTACCAGTCAAGTATTTGTAAAATTTTTTGAGGTAATTTGTCTTACATACAATTGTTTTCATCTGTTAATCATAATTCTCCTTTAGTCTGGCTACTCAATGAATAGCAGAGTACATCATAAAGGCTCGCCATCTTTCATGGACGAAGCGGAGATTTTAAGTGACCCTATTTTACCAGATTCAATTGCAAAGCCCCTTCCAAGAATGTCATCTTTTGATTCAGCGGAATCGCGGTAAAAAAATTAATGAAAAATCAGAAAGTCTAATAATAATATTTGGTTTAATATTTAGAAATGAAACCACCGTCTGGACTGGACAACTCGATGACAATGCTAGCATCAGTAGCTCTTTTAGCTCTGATGAGGGCGGAAAGACTTCGGACACCGAATCACCCAGCACTGTGAGTTCACCAGGGAGAAGTGAAAGTTCAAAAGATCTCTTGTCGTTTTTTGACCCATTAAAACAAGCGGTTGCTGCTAAGTTTACTGGCAGGAATGAAAACAACCAGCAGCTGCTCTCATCCTTACAAATCAATGAGGTACTATTTAAGCTAAGATTAAATTTTTTATATTATGCTTTAATCAACCATGTTTAAATGTATGCATTGCTTCATTTAATATGCTTGCAGCAACAAACGCCAGTTGATGATGGCTCTTGCCATGGAGCTGGCTATATTTTTGAAGCAGCTTGTCAAGTGAGCCAAGCTCAGCAACATGAAGCGAATGGTCATTTTGACGGAGCTTTCGAGTCTTATAAACTTGGAATTGGCATTCTTTTGAGTGGAGTTCAAGGTTTGTTGATTATAAGATTTATGTTAATTACAGCGTACCCTACATTGTTCCTCGATAAATTGTTCCATAGCCGATTGGCTAACTATTCCTATAAGCATAATGTGGAGGAATGCATATTTTGTATGTTTTAAATCCTCAAAATTTATATGGCTTATATTATTTGCAAAAAATCTCCAATTTTGAATCAAGCCCGACCGTTTCCAATGGAATCTGAACCACCTTTAGGGCCACCAGAAGGTGCATGGATCAAAGAAAAATTGTAAAAATAATGATTGCTTAATTCCATTTATCCACCTTCGATCTTGCTATATTTACCTGCTATTTCATGTGTTATTGTGAATAGTTAGCTGATTGACTGTGGAGTAATTTTGCTGAAAAATGTACCTGTAATTGTTATTTATAACTGCTTGATGTTCATCTTTTTGAACAGCTGACAGTGATTCTGTACGCCGTCAAGTAGTTCGAGAAAAAACGGCCAAATATTTAATTCGGGCTGAGAAGATATACAACTCTTACCTTTTGAACAAAGAAGACAAAGCACGCCGAATAGTAAGGAACTCCCATCCATTATTAATTAAGATTTAGAAATTATTTTTTGTACAGGCGCAGACTACCTACAAACTATTGAGACCTATAGCAGAGCTGAATAAATTTAAAGTTATTGGAGTTATAGGGAAGTGCATGCTGGTCAGAGATGAGACACTTTCTTCAGATAATACTTCTGTTATCAAAGTATGTAATGCTATTTGACTTTTTTTTTGTATAATTGAGGAAGTGCTTTTTTAGACATTTTGGAAGTCTCCTCTTCTTACGAAGACTGCAGTCATCATACCTCAGGAGGTTCCGTATTTTGTGCAGTGCCTAAATTATTTTGAGACTGAATCAACAATTTTTACAGTTCTGGAATTTGTCAGGTATTTTTTGCACAAAATTTTTTTGCATTGTTGCATAATCATTGTTTTGCAGCTATATTAAATTGTGGGACCAGCTTGGTGACTCAAACGTGTGCCCCAATCAGCAAGCGTTTTTTAAAACAAACTATAGCACCCAACAAAACTCTTCAAACACTCAAGAAATTCAACAAAATCCTCTTTCTCCACTTTCTCCTGACAACAGTGAGGGTCTTCCTCCTATGGCTTGTGACCTCACCGAGCAGAATGACGAAAACTGCAACAACACGGAGGCAAGTGGGGTTTCTCGAAATTCGATCAAATTTCCTTGGCTTGATATGGATACTTCCTCACTGGTCCAAAATGCCCAGAAACTCCTTCACTCTGTCAGCGCCACACTGCAGAAAAGTGACGTAGAGGGCGAGGAAAGCACAGCTAGATCAGAAAAGCCAACTGTGGTCCAATATTTTCCCAAGCTAGAAAATTCCATTGAGCTGAAAAAGGAAGCCGAAGAAAGGTCAAGGGAACGACTTCGAAGATCCTCGAGCAGAAGCCGATCATCGACTACTCACTTGCCAAAGTCAGGGAGGGTGATTGAAAGACGATTCAGTTATGACGTAATATGCTCTTTAATATAATTTGAATTGTTCATAGTAACGTTTTGAAAATTAGGATTTACTGGATGGCAGAAGCAGTTTGGACACAAGTGGGAGGCGAAGTTCTAAGGCACTTGATATGCTAATAAAACAAAGGCTATCTGAAGATTCTGTACGAGTTCTTGCCTCGCAATTAGTTCTTGCTTTAGAAGCTCTACATGAGCAAGGGATTTTTTACGGGTAAATTTAACTTTTTTTAAGGTTTTCTTAAAATTTTTCTCATTCTCGTAGTGATCTCAATCCTGACAACTTACTTCTGGATAATGAAGGCAACATTATACTCACTTTCATTGGAAAATGGCCTTGCGTTGAACAGCGTGTTGACTGGAAAGCTGTTGAAAACATGTACGCAGCGCCCGAAATCGGCAGCATTCAAAATGTGACTAGTGTTTCGGATTGGTGGAGTCTCGGTGCAATCATTTTTGAGCTTCTTACTGGAAAAGTAAGGAAATGTAGTCTTTATTCATTTTTTAATTTCTAATTTTTCACATTTCTTATACAGACTTTAGTTGCTAGCCACCCTGGAGGAATACACAGTCATACTATTTTGAATTTCCCTGACTGGATCTCTGCAGATGCTAAATCGCTTCTCACGGAGGTTAGAGAAAGTGACATAAATTTTAACTGACTTCCTATTTTTTCAATGGCATATCAAATTTCAGCTTTTGAAGGCAGACCAATTTGAAAGACTTGGTTGCGGAAGTCACGGCATCGACAATATAAAAGCTCATCTATTCTTCAACAACATAGACTGGGATGCCGTGATGCAATACGGGGTGCGTAAATTAAGTTTTAAACGCTAGTCAAATCCGAGTTTAAATCAAGTAGCATTTATTTGAAAAGCGCCATTGATGAAATCCATTCATAAATACCATTCCATGTATTATTATATTTATTTATATTATTCCATGTTTTACAAGTATAGCCTAGTCAATGTCAACCTTATATATATTCAATGATAAATTTTTTTTTTTTTTTTTTTTTTTTTAAATTAATGGTCAAATACTGAAAATCCTTCCATATCTATATCAACATGACTTTGATCATGCGATGCATGTTGTAGCATCATAATTTTTTAACGTCATTTGCCAAATAGCAACGCAAATAGCATCTTCCAATTAGGTCTAGCGATCATTCCCGAGTTTTGATATAATTTATTAATTTCCTTCTATAGATATATTTTTTATCACGAATGGTCTAGTCACGAGCAGTGTCACTGTAATAATAAAATTGTCTTTGTTTTCATGAAAAAAACAATCGAAGTTTTTTACTTTCACTCGCCCTGTTTCATCAATTTTAGTGTTAATCTCTTATCAGTTTAATTAAGCTTAGTTTTTATAATTCTTCAATATGATTTTGTTTTCATAAATATTGAAATGCTCACGAAATAAAATTATTTGACTATCTCATTGTAAGTAAATAGATAAATGTTAATCAAATTCTTTGCAAAATAAGGGAATAATTTTTGGTACAAAATACAATCTTTAGTTTCAAGAAAATATTTATTGGGTTCGAATTTAGGGCAACTATCTTTACTTGGTCGATGGAATTTGTCAGAGAAACATAAGCTTAAATAAGAATTGATATTTTGTGGGAAGGAAAACTCCGTCGTTGTAGACAATCAGTAGCTGTAGCAAGAGTTTCCAAGAGAAGCAGAGAGAACGGCCCGAGAGGCCGCATTTTGGGTGCCTGGAGCTCTCATTACGACACATTCTCCTTCAACATTTGGAAGCTCAGTTTCTGTTTTTGTGCTTTTGTAGCTCATTTTAATATGCTGTGAAAAATTTCAAATCCCAACATCTGTTGCTACGTGTATGGCGCAAGTTCTTTCGTGGTCGTAAGAGCGAGCTCACACTCAGCTCTTTCTCTCTCTCTCTTGCAAAGAGCCCGGGAGAAGCAGAGAGAATTTTCTTCTTCATCGTTGCTTACTTTGCAGGTCAAAAACAACAAAATATACACGGTGAGAAGAATGATTAAAGACAAGCCACACAAGCTTGTAACTAAGAAACCCAACTCACCCAAGTTTCGGCGGCGGAGCAACGAAAACGAGGTGCGAAAGGAGCACGCACTGCTTTTCACATAATTCATCTTTCAGTTTTCACTTCATCTGGGAGAGAGGCAGAGAAGCGAAATGTTGTGTTTGTAACACTGTTCAGGGAATATAGAAAAGAAAAGGAGGCCTCGTGACTCGTTGTCTCGGAACTTGTAATTTTCTTTGTACTTACAATACGCAACAACAAAATAACTTTCCCGTTTTGAACGCAATTATTTATAATAAATAAATATGACGCATGCATAATTTTGAATAATATTATCATAATGTTAAAAGAAGTTTTTTAATTAACTTTATACAGCAGTAGAATATATGGTATATATTTTTCATAAATTTTTATTATTATAATTGCAATGATTTTTATCATTGTGGGCTGTAAAAAGTTGAACATGTTTAAACTTCCATATTGCAATTGCAATAATTGCGCGGCAGCAAAAAGCCACAGAACCGCGTGTTTCATTCCCCTTTGCCTCTTTTGCGTACACACACGCACAATGCGAAAAATGTGAAATATAATTCAATTCGCATGTAAATGTGCAGCGTCCTGTCTGCGGCAGTCGACAACTTCAAATGGCGCATCGCTCAACCAAACTACAAAATAACATGTTTTGACATTTTTGTGCGCGCTTTGTGTGAAGCCGCGTGCTTTTTGGAGGCAGAAAAATTGTCACGAGCAAGTCCCGTCAGCGGGTAATGAGTGTGCGGCGTTCCATGTTGATATGTCGACGAGCCATAATTAGTGCTGTCATATGATGGCTTTTATTCCATTTCGAAAACAATAATTCTGGTCCCGTTTTTCTTTGTAACAACGCACCAGCAGCATGTAATTTCCTGGCAAGTTTTTTTTTTACAAGCAAGTGGCATAAAAAATGCTGATTGCTCCGGAAATAAATAATGAAGCAGCCAGAGAGTTGAATTATCAGCACCATCCATGTAATTCTCTCGCTTTTTCTGCCAAATTTGTCATGCACCCCTCATGACTTATCGCTGGTTGCCGCGAAATGACTCACTTCACTTGAATGACGGTGGACTGCCTGCCGCTTTAAGTCGATCATTGCTCCCCTCGAGATTGCACCAAGCAATCTAGGGCTTACTGATGATCAAAAAGAACCTCTCACGGTGATGTACTGCACCAATATCAACAACGAGGGGAACTTGCAGGCCAGGTTATATATATAAATGAAATATCTTTTATATCAACTTTATGGTAGATTAAACGCTTTTTTATATTTTGGTTCCCCTGCCTTGCACTAATAATCGCGAATTGCACTCGATCGTGCTTTCTCCCCCAACCAAGGCTCTTTTGGTTTATTTATAAAAGTAAAAATATCGTACAATTTATATTACTTTCCAGTACGATTTACAGCCTTCTAATGTCTGCTAATTAAGTTTATTACTTTACTTACTGCTTCATTCGTTGATCTCTGACAGCGAAATTGATTGTTAATTCAATTTAATGTATACCAAATGAAGAGACTCGGAGCAATGCGGGTGCCGTTTTCCAATTATCCGAGCTCTTGCCGATACAACTCAAATGCCGTTGTTAAGACGAACTGCGATAGGCGAGATTGCGAAATTAGTTTGCGCCTCGATCAGTGGTTATGCAATGTGCCAAGCTTCTGTGCGGAGCAGGTTGCGGCTTGTGGCAAAAGTGAGATTAATCCAGCTGGGCTGGTTCACTTCTCCACATACGTATGTACACGCTGCATACATGGTGAAGAATAGAAGACTCTCTATAACTCACGCGGCTCGCTTTGATTGAAGAGCCCGCTTAACACATAGCCAGACATCACTTGTTGGGTTTGATTTTCAGCGCAGAGGATCAAAATTAATAATGACGAATGTGAATCGAATGTGTAATAATCAAAAAGTCTGAGCGTGAATTCACATATATTGTGAAACGGATTAATTAGACATTAAAATAAAAGTCCGGGATTAACTAAAAAATATTTTTAATCAATTAATTTTGGAGATAATTCATTACAATGTAATGATCTTATTATTAACTTAATGGGATTGTGTTTTGTAATCCAAAAAGTGTAAATATTACAATTTAATCACTTTCAAGTTGTAAGTTAAATTTCTTATATTGCTTCACAATTAAAATTTTTCTAACATTCCCAAAATTGACATTGATCATTATAAATAAACTATTCTAATTCACGATCTGCTTGCATACTGCCCAGCCTCCATTCATATCTTTCACGCTTTGAAAATGATTTACGTTGAGACTAAAGCGCTGAGTCTGACTTTCTTGAAGTTTCATCGCTCCTCTTTCGTATACATATTTACTTGGAATGGACTCGCTTAAATGCCGAGCAAACCAAACTTCTGGAAAACCTTCCGTCTCAGATGCGACTCATGCAAGAGTTGCGCATTCTGCAGAGCTAAACAAAAATCGGAAACTGTGCAGAAAAGTATAATGGCCGGTTGCAATTTGCAACGACGCCTGCCTGCTTTTCCACTGCTGCAATTGCTCCAGCTGCTGAAATAGTTTTGCGCAAATTGTGAGTTGCAAACCCAGCAGAAGAGACGTCTTGAACGCGCGGGGACGAGAGTCGTAAAATGCCAAGATTATGAAGAGCGGCGCTCTTTCTCTCCGTGTTTAAACAACTGCTGCACGAGAGACGCACACACGTTCACTTTATATATTTTGCATGACGCATAATAATATGACTGTCTGCATAATGTCTTTTCCTACTTAAGAATAATGCGTTTTTTAAAGTGCACCGAGCACTTTCCTCCCCGACTGGCTTTAAGCTACCTACGAAAACCAACCGGCCAACTTTTTAAGTAGGAGTCGCACGGCCCGCAAAGTTTCCGCCTCACCGCATTTTAAATAATTCAATCCACGGTGCAGATGCGTAAGATGAATTTCGCGGATTCCCTCTCTCCACTCGCCCGTTGCCGAGCTTTCCTCGTCGGCTCGTTCGCCCAATCCTATTTGTTAACTAATCCTTTCCGACTCTCTCCTGCAAGCGAGGGAGTTGTTGAGAGTCAGATCAATTACAAGCCCGCGGCCAGGAACGCACTCAGAGCTTTGGAAGGCATGTACACGTTTACTTTTGTCTGACGAACTTCTCAAACTCACAGCGTCATTTTCTAACCCACTTACACCTTACAACGAATAGGCTTAAACTTTCAATAACCCCTAAATAAATCGAAAGTTTCTTCAACCATCCCACTTTTCCAACTTTTCAATATACTATTGAATTTTAAAAAACACGCTTTCTACATGACATCCTCCACGTTTTCCTGGAAAAGAGCACTATTTATATTTAAAAGGTGCTGCACCATTCAAGTAGAAGGTAAATCGTCATTCACCACATAAAGAAGGAACTTAAAGCGTAGGCTCATGGCGTGGGCTACAAAAAAAGTTAATATATGTCACGACTCACGACTCATTCAAGTAACTATGTGTTTAAATTGAAACGTTTTCTTTATGTGTTTGCCAACCCTCATCCCACTGCAAGACAGGATGACAATGATGAATCGTGAAATGCGCCCAAGAAATGCGCACCCAAACACACAATAATCCTGCTCTCCATCTTTGCTGAAAAGCTTTGAACCATTGCAATGATGTGCATTCCATCATGGTCAGCAAACACTGAAATATCTATCTAAGGTTTCATGCAAATTAAACTTGATAATTTTTTTCACTTTTTTGCTTCCTCAAATAAAAATATGAAAAGTTCCACCACTTATTTTTTCCATCATAATTTTTATGTGATGGCCTTAGGCCACATTTTTGGTTTTACACAAAATATGCATTAGGGCTCAGTGTTGTATGCAGCGCCAGAGGCAGGCGAACCAAGCAGGCAACAACTATACACATCTGCTGATATATTACACCTGTCACTTATTGCGAGACACGCATTAAAGCATCATGCAAGAATGCGAGAACGGGCCATCCTATAGCCGTCGGCACTTTATGTGCTAGCTGTCCTTGTTTTCTGACGCCTGTAGGGATGCTTTGTGACTTGCATGACGCTATCAAGAATTCCTTTTCTTGTGCTCAAAAGATTTATTGCAATGGTTCTGCAATCGCGCATTGTGTTTATGGCCTCCACTTGAGTTCGAGATACGTTTCAAATAGAATTGCCTGCCGCTGAATTCAAAATATTATTTTATCCACGAGCGTGATGGGAATTGCATTTCGAAAGGATTAGTTTTTACATCACATATAGGTCTAGAAACAATAATT